AGAAAGAAAACAAACTCAAGGCCTCTTTGCTGTTTGTCCTCTAGTTTCATTAAAGAGTAATACCCCTTATCATGTACTTGGCTGTAACAGGTTTGTATTTTCCAGAAAATTTCCAACAGAATTCCTTGGACTAATTCCAAGAACTGTTATCAATCAACTGGTTTTAAATAGTGATGCACACATAGCCTTGGTAAAGGGTTTCAGACCTATATTGCATTTATCTTGAAAAAGAAATATGTTTGGCACAATTCTCTCCTTGTGCCCTTGACCTCTCCTAACTGCCAGCAATGAAGACTCAAGGGCAGGAAAGGATTTATCCCTCTGCCATCCTCTCCTCAAAGGTGTCAGTCAGTGAAGGTTGGGGTCAGGCTGTGGTAATAAATTGAATTTAGCAGTTTTAATGTGGACCATATAGATTCTATCCACCTTCTACTCTCTGCCTGAAACATCCACAAACTTTATTACACCCAGGTAGGTGTAACTCTCAAGTGCCAGCCTGAGCCCAGAAGCAAAACAGGACAGAGCACTTGGTGAAACAGGCTGAGGGAGGTTCCTCAGCTCTTATGTGATCTCAGAAGTGACCTCAGAAGGAAGGAGCTTAAAGAGTCTGCCAGAATGGATCCTTGTAGGAAACAGCAGCTGAAGCAGACTCAAACAGTGCTGCTTTTCCCTGCTATGTGTAATGAATAGGATAAAAAAGGAAGCCATAAAGATTTCTGACATGATTCTTTTCTGATATTAGGTTTTTTTCTGAAGGTCCTGTCACTTTTGATAGCTTTTCAGTTGCCCAAAGGAGATGTGATTTAACTTGATGTTATAATATTAGTACTGTCTGCTGTGTAAAATGAAACACTACAGATATCATCCAAAGAGAAGGTAATTATAGGGAGTATTTATGTTTGAAGAGTCAATCCTTAAGGTTTCAGGGCTAATTAATTCCTGATAAGAAACTTCTGAGTGAGAAAACTCATGATGGCACTAGCAGGGAACACCAAATTTACTTGAGAGAGCAAGCAGAATTTGTCTGGCATGTTGGTATGTGAAATCCCACAAGGCTGGATTATGCTTTTCCTTCCTTTATCTCAAATTTTGAACAGTCCCAGTGACAGCAGACCAGCTTGTGTCCTGAGCTAGCTCACACCTGGAGCTGTCTCACCATTCTCTTCCTCGATTTACCAAGCACTGAAGCCCAGCTTCTTCCCAGAAGCAGAGATCTGAAGTTCAGGAATTAATTTGTTAGCAAACATCTTCATCCTATTGGTAAGCTCAGACAAAAAGAGTTCAGTCCCAAGGAAACTCAGGCCTCCACATGGATTTAAGCTTGGAACTTTGCAGAGGAAAGCAGCTCAGAAATATCTGTGTTCAGCTTGTGTCCCAGGCTCTGGGACAGAAATCACCAACACAGCTCCCAGAGTTCAGAGTGAAAATTCTGTTCTGCATGCACACAGAGACCAGGCATTTCTCATCTGACACAGGAAAGGTCTGCAGATTTTTCTAGGTTTTTTTTTTTTTTTTGTGGTTGGTTTGTTTGTGGGTTTTTGTTTTGGGTTTTGGTGGGTTTTTTTTTTTTTTAAGGCCATATTTCAATCACACTCAGTCATTTTCCCTCCAGTTAAAGCCCAACTGTTAATTGTAGGTGTTTCATCTTGGTGAGGCTGTGAAGCTGGAGCCAGCATAGTGGAAATCCCACACAGCACACAAAGACTCTGCTGCAGTCTGTCATTTATTGCCTGAATGGAAAGAGTAACAACCCAATACAAATATTTGGACTTCTCTTTGTTCCTGGCAAGGCTCTTGAAGCACACACACACGATTGCCTTTGGTTTTGTGAGGATGGGAGAAGCAAAAGAGAGACAGAGCTGGAAATGAGCCAAATCGGCACACGAGAGAGGCAGAGGCTGCTCCAGAGCTGTGCCCAGGTGTGCAGGGCTGGAGCACCAGCACAGGGTTTTATCACAGCAGGATGAGTGGATTCCTGGAGCCTTATCAGGGTGTGCATCAAGGATGGCTGTTGATTATGGAGAACAGCACAGAGCAGAATCTCCCACGGGTAAATCCTCTGTCTGTGGGGCTGTGAGTAGAACTGAACCAAACACCAAAGGACAGAGATCTTTTGCTCCAGATCTGAGCGAAAATCCAGGCTTGGACCTTCTTCAAAACTGCTCCAGCCTTGTTACACCCCACTTGAAGAGCAAACCCTTAACCAGATAAACAGCACCTTCAAAACAACAGCATTTTCCTGTCCTTATCTCAGAGCAAGGGCAGGAGCACTGGAAAGCTCAGCAATTCTGGCTGCACAACCACACAGGTATGGTGACCTACCACTCTCACATCTGCTGCAAGCCCAAATACACAGCTGTGGTAGGGCCAGCTTGTCTTTGGAAGCAGTTTCAGAGTGCTCACCTCATGTTTGGTGCTCTGGAAACTCGTGCAAGGTGCTGCCCCACCCTCAGAAAGAACAGGAGCAGGAGATCAGAGCCCTCCACCGCCCGCAGAGCAGGAGGCCACCAGCAGCCCTGGTTTCACTGATAACAACAGCACAATCTACACAGCCCGTGGAAAAACAAACGGTCTCTTGGTTGATATCCCTGATTCCTTGGCTCATGGCCCAAGGAGGGAAGCTTGGGAGCACTGAGGAAAGGATTCAGAAGACAGGCCTTGAGTCAAAGACCCACCAGAGAAGTTTGTGACCTGTTCTTGCACCAGGACTGAGCTGAGGAGCTCCTGGGAGGGCACTGCCTCCCCAGCTGGCTGCTGCTCCATTTTCCCTCCTGGTGCTGATTTCACAAGCCATCACAAGGGGCTGCTTGTCTCCAGTTTGGAATATGAGTCCCTAGTGACATAACTTGTAATCCATATAAAAAGCAAGATTAGAATGAGAATATTAACTTCTAATATTTCTCCTACTGTTCACCCTGCCCTAATCCAGCATGGTTTGCCAAATACTAAATACTAACTACTGCATTCAGGCCTTCCTTCTGACATTAAAAAGAATGGAATCTGCTCTGTAATCATGGCTTCAAGAAGTAAGAAGTGAAGGAAAAAGTCCAATAGCAACACTCTCTTTGCTGCTCTGTGCATAGCAATGGGCTCAACTCGACACAGCAGCTACACAAACTGTTCTGCTGCAGTGCTGGAAACACCCAAAATATCTGTCTTCAGAAGTTCAGTGCTATGTTGGGTATTCCTGATCCATGTTAGAATTATTCCTTGACATTTACCATAGCTCTTCACATCCCTCTGTGCCAGCATGCCTCAGAGCTGGGTTCAGACAAGGTGACTGCAGGCAGAGAACAATGCAGCACTTTCCCTCTGCAGTCTTGCACTGGGGTGCAGCCCCGGAGCTCCCCTGGGCACACCTGCCTGGCCCAGCCCAAACAAACCTGAGACAGTGAGGGCAGGAGCACTCTGAGCTCTGCCTGGCAGTGCAGCCTGCTGGCAGCTTTGTGCTGGCTCACCCTCAGGGACGCACACAGGAAAGTGGGGAGCAGAGGGGAAGTAAACTCAGCACTTGTTTTGCAAGGCTCAGGACAGCATTAGAGCCCCTCCCATGCTTTGGGAGCAGAGCAGCAGGGATGCTTTTCAGAGCTGGTAAAGCCCCTGCAGGTGTTGGTCAAGCTCCTTTCTCTTGGCAGCCTCCTGTAGGGACCAAAGAAAACAGGAATTGCTGAAGGATCAGCAATCTCTTGGCAAGCACTTCCCAAGTCGGCCTGTACCAGACACCCATGGAAGGAGAGGCATTCCCTGAAAGGCTTTGCCCAGGATCTGCAGAGGTGCCAGCTCACCCAACTGCAGCCACCTCATCCTGCCCATGCCAAAGGCTCTGGCAGGAGAGGGCAAAGCACAAAGCTCTGCACCAGCTCCCAGCAGGGTGGACAGCAGCAAATAAACAGACAGATGGCCTTTGGCAGCATGTTGAAAAGCATTTCAGCTTCCTAACGAGAAACAGCTCCTGCTGTGGGCACTGGAGCAGCACTGGGACCATCCCCCTGTGCACCAGGCAGTGACACCAGCTCTGCTGAACATCTCAGCAGGGCAGTGACAGATGAATTGCGGTGACAGAGCCCAAGTTCTTCCATCACGTCACTGCTACCTTGTGTGACCCAGGGGGTAGCAATAACAGCCAGGCTCCTCTCCATCATCCTGCCAGAATGAAACTATTTAGAGACAGCTTCCAAGGGCAGCCATGAGCTTGCTTCCCTGACAGGCTCACTGGGCCAAGAGCTTTGAGAGATAGGGCCCATCTATACCCCTGAAGGCGGTGAAGGCCAGTAGGGACATGACTTCCTTCATTCCTATAAATGCAGGAGGTGCCAAATGTTTGGAATGTGCTTTGTAGAGCAGGATTAGCATGGGTCCTGCAAAGCTCTACTCGCCTGAGCACGGATTTTGCTTAGAGGGTTTCTAATCTCACCTGTTTATCCTGGCTGTGCATGATAATGAAGGTGTTCCTGAGCCAAGAGAGATGACGGAAGTGCATTCCTGATGAGCTGCTCCCTCTCTTCCAGCAGAGGACTCAACAGCTTACACAAGACATTCTTTTTTGTGAGGGTTGGAGCTAGGCTTAGGCTTGAGAGAGTCTAAGAGCCTAGAGCTCCAGGAAAGCCATGCCAAGGCCATCCCAGCATTGCTGCTCCTCCATCTTTCTGATCTGAACCAGCAGCACTGGTGATGGGCTAACTCTGAGCACAGTCTCTGGGCTGAGGTGAGACTGCTGTGAGTGTTTGTTTGAGCAATCCAGGGAACATGGAGCTGGGAATTCCAGGCAATAACAGACCAATGCCTTAGGTCTGTTTAGTTTGTGCCTGTGAAAACTGGGACTCAGGCTGGAAAGGTGCTGTTGGGAGCAAAGTAAATCTGTAAATCTGTAAAGTAAATCTGAGTAAATCTGCTCTCTGTGCAGTGAAGGAGTGAGGAGCAGGGAAAGATAATATTTATGAACTATATTAATATTTCATCCAAACTGGGGGGGGAGCAGTGATGTCCATGTTGTCCTACAGAACTGCTTCAGTTACAGGTCAGAGACAGAGAAGGGAAACTGCTTTTTATTTTCTTGCCATTTTTTCCAGACAGAAGTGGGACATCATCTTGTCCCTCCCCAAAGCTCTCCAGGCACATGGGAGTAGCTCAGTGCTGGCCCAGTTCTCTGAGAGATAACAACATTTGAGAGATTTGAGATAAGTGTTACTAACAGCTCTGTTGTCTCTTGATTGCAAAGATTCAGTCCTACAGACCCAGACCGTTGAGACAAAAAGGGAATTTCTACATATGGGTTTATCTAAATAAACACTTCCAGCTCCCTTGCTTCCAGAGCCCAGCTCCAGCCTACAGTTCCTTGTTCCTATGCATGTTGATGGTTTGCTGTCACTGAGCACGAATATCCCTTGCAAGAGCTGCTCAAGGGCTCATTTCTGCTCTGCAGTAGCGCTGTGAGTCACCAGGTGCCACCAGCGAGTCATCTCAGCCTCTGCTCATGTGCCCGCCGCTTGGATTCCACCCACAAAATTCAATATATCCGAGGATTGCTCCCAGACAAAAGCTGCCAGGACAGAGAGGATTTGGGGACTTCGCCTCCCCAGGACAGCCTGTTACCTGCACCTGAGACACTGGGACTACGTGCTTTCCTTCCTATGGAAAGGAGCTGTCATTGCTGCCATTCTCTGCCTGGATGCCATTGCTGGAATTTCAATTCCACCTCCAAAACTGCATATATGCAAGGACTGCTCTCACACGAGAGACGTGGTGCAGGGGAACAGGCAGAAGTGCTCTGAAATGGAGGGGAACCCTCTGATTTAAGCCCTTAAAATGATGAAAAAGGGTGAGTTTCCTTCAATTTAACCCCTTAAAATTAGGGAAGAGGAGGGATCTGCCTTCACCTAAATCAGCCCTCATGCTGTCACATCCAGTGCAGTAAGCATGCTTCCTCTAGATCTCATTATCTTCTGAACTGAACTGTACTGTCAGCATGTATTCTTTATCATTCTTCTAAGTGATAACAGGTTTTAGTTCCTCCAGCAAAATTAAAGCATAGAACTTTTGCCAATGAGCCCGTGGCCTTGAGCTTTGAAGCAGAAATGCTTGTAAAACAATAAACATCTACCTCCCTTTCAGAAAAACTTGACTGTTAATGTGAAGGAGTTGCAATGGCTATCTCCCCTTCAATCTTTTCTTTGATTGGAGATGACCTCTGAAATGGAGCATTTCATTCAGTTTGTTTTGCTTCAGTAATTTACAACAAACCTTTGAACAGAGAGAATCTTGTTTATTTCTGGACACCCGTTTCCACTAAAGGCTTTTCCCAGACTAGCACGAAGACTAGCACAATCAGCCATCCTGAATCATCTGGACAAAATATGAAATTCATTGGCTTAGATGTTTCTTTCTTCATTCTTTCCACCCTCACTGCTCTTTGGAATGCAGGTAAGTGATTTTCAAACATTTTGCTGCTTTTAACTGCAAATTTTTTTGACTTCTCTACTTCAGAATACACTTACTTTGGTAAGAAATTGTGGATACCGTTTTTACAAGCTAAAGTAAAGGCACACAGGCCAGCTTTTACCTGCATAGTTTCATTTTCAATCTCTTCCTCTGTAATTTCCAGCAGGTCAGTGGATCTCTTCTGTAAGTAAACAGACAATCTGGAGAATGCAGTAAATATATTTAAAGACAGAGAAAAACTTTCCAGCTGCCCATATTGGACAAGTGCTTTTACTTCTCTTCTTTGCATTTTCCTGTGCTTGTTCTTCACCACCCACCTTGATCCCTGCCTTTCTTTTTGCTTGTGTCCTCCCAAATAATCAATCCTCCCTTAGTTACTTTTTCATAATTAGTTCCAATTTTGCAAGATCCATGTCCAAATTTAGAATTTCTGATACTTACCTAGATCATCTCAGCATTGCATGGTATTCTTGATGTAGCTCCCAAACACTGTTATCCTTGCAAGATTCCACTTCCCAAAAGGTCCTCAGTGCTCCCAGCTGTCTCTGCAGCTTATTCATCTCACTTAACTCCCCCTGAACTTTGTGAAATCCAGCTATTTTTGACATACAGGGCTACTGTAATGTCTGTCTTCTTCTCACTGTTTTATTTGTTGAGTGGTTTTCCATGTGATGGCCAGTGATTACTGACAGTCTGTAAGCCACGAGCCTCACCTGTCTGTGCACCTGCCTTGTTAAGGCCTGACTCAAATCAAATGCACAAAACAAAGACATTTCAGTTTCTCTTAATAAACTTGTGTTGGAGCCCATTTCATTGCTGATTTTAACTTTCCAAGAGCATTGGTTTTCTGTTCTTAATGATTCCCATGTAGGGTTGATGGTGGGGTTCTGGTACATTTAAGAATTATCCTCAAAAATAAGTGTAATTGGTGATACTCACTGAGGGGCTGCTCTGGAGATTTATCTCTCTATTACATGCAAAAATACCCATGGAATTAATGAAATTATGTACTCTCTGGGAGGTAAATAAGTGTATTTTGCTATTCAAAATGGACCAACCTTAATGTGCAGGTGATTACAACCTTCACCTAAATACATTCCTAAACTAACATAACCAGCCTATTTTATTTACTTACAGCAGTCTTTTGGATGATATACTTGTGCTTCAGAGAGCATCTAGAAGAGTTCAATAACATTCCTGACTCTTTTTTTCTTCCTTTAACAAGGAGCTGAAGACTCTTGTGCACAGAGATGTGGGGAGCTGCTTGGTACCTGTTCTTGCCAGGTGACATGCCAGTCCTTGGGGACATGCTGTCCTGATTATAAAGAATTTTGTCTTCAAATTTCTCCATACTCAGGATCTCTTATGGGAGGCAAAGACTTTTTGATTAACAACACAGCATTTGATCCCTCTTCTAAGCTAAAATGCAGGTGGGCCATGATTTTATATTCCTCTGCCAAAGGGAGGCAAAATTTTAAAATCTCACTCTCCAGCAATAGGCAATTACCACAAAACAAGACCAGTCTATATAGGAGTGAAATCTTTGTAAAGTTGTTAGAATCCTGAAATGTACAAAAGTTCTGCTCAATCTCACCCTCAAGGATACCTGTGGACTGTATTTCCACACAGGATTGTTTCTTTTAGGTGGAATTATTGTGTGGTACAATCATAACTCTGCTCATTCTTCCCTTACCATATTAAAACAGTGACTTTTTGGAAGAGTTTCCTTTCAGGACACTTGATGGTCAATATTTCTTTAGCATTTCCCTTTGTGGGAAAGAAGTATTTATTTCTTAATCTGAATGAGAAAACAGCAAGACAGAAATGTAGGTAGGACACCTGATGTTTACCCTGTAAGAGAAAGCTGTGGATCCTAAATGTGTCAGCCTGTATCACACTTAGGTGCATGTGGCATGTGCAATACATACAGTACACTGAATTTTGATGACCCAGATGTTGTGCTATTATTTCCACAGAAGGTTCTGAGTGAGATTTTGGAGTCCTTCCCATCTGGGTAGCAGTACCTGAAAAAGTTTTCAATTCTTTATTTGGAAAACCTTTGACCAAGGCATTCACTCTGTAGAACACAACTGTGCACTTCCAAGTGCCTGCAGAGTTACATAATTGTAGCCAAGGCAAATTCCAGTGCAGAAAAGCAAAGGTCCTATTTCCTGGCAGGCCCCAGCTCCCTCTGATACTTGGAATAGATATTCAGTCCCCATATATCAGTCTTGAAAAGTCACAGATGGGGTTAATCCCCAGGACTCTGGACAAGAGCCCTAACTGGAATCAAATGGTTAAAAAACAAGCAGTGCCTTCTGAGTTAACCTTTGCAACAGAAATGCTACAACAGCGTGAAATTCCTTTTGTTGCCCTCACAGGGCTTACCAGGATAAAAACCAAATCAGAAATTTGCAATAACTGCATCATGGCCATTGTTAGCCACCCTGTAATCTTACTAATGCTATAACATTATTTTCCTCTTCCTGTCACCCCTTTGTTGTTAATTTATCATATCTCTCTCGCCCAGAAATTAAATAGTGAATTGAACATTTGTGGATTGCTGTATATTTGTGCAGTTCGCAGTAGAATTCACATTGATGTAATGGCACAATTTTCCAGTTTATATTCCCTGCTACAAGCAAAACAGCCCCAGACTTGAAATGATCCACACATGACACAAGGTTGCTTGTTGAAGAATATTCAGAATTTTCCTTCTATCTATGGTGACACTGAAAAGTGTTTTCAACATCTACAGGTTCAAGAAGGAGATCACAACCAGTGGCTATATTGACAAGGATGGAAAAGGCCACTGCATCTCCCCATTGCTTTATGAGACTGGTTTCATCCCTTTTGAAGTTTCTGCAGATGCTGGGTCAACGTTTCCCTACTCTGGAACTTGGTTATCAGGTTACTTATATCTACAGCATCCCTTTTCTTCCTATATTCTTCCACCATGCATGCAAGATTATAGAAGTCTTTTCCTTTAGTTAAGTTTTATTCTTCCTTAACAGGCCTCAGAAAAGAAAGTCTCACTAGCCTCATGTTAATTCATCTTTTGAGAGATGAGCTTTCACAGCAATTGAGTAGCAGCAGCAGCACTAACTGATAAAAAGTCCTGCTTTAAAATGAGGTTGACCAAAATTGTTCCCACCTCATCCCTACTTCTACCCCTTTTTGTCCCCTCTTCAAATAATTGCATTGTGGTGTTGTAATCTAAAGACTGCAAGTATTAGTAAGGGTTGCATTCTCTCAGCTTCAGCTTATTCTTTTCATGTCATGTATCCTGTGCTGTGTAAAACATACCCAGGGGAAATCCTGCTAAATCTTAAATAATAGAGTAGCACTTTTTCAGGACTATGCAAAGCCAAAATGTCATTAGCCCTCTCTTTCTGCTCTGCAATGCAGTACATCACAGCAAAGTTTCAGATGGAGAAAAATGCACTTTGGTAAATGAGACAAAATGGCAATACTATGGCACCTCCAACATTGGTGGAAACTTAACTCTTACCTGGACACGCCAGACATTTGAAACAACTCATGTCAACATAGAAGTCTGGGGATACCAGGAAACAGGTAAAGTGACCCTTTTCCTACAAGCATTTATCACACACAGAACTCTTGTGCAGAGCTCTGCACAGCTTGTGATCACTTTCACTGAAACCTGCAAGCGTAAATAACTGATGACAATAATGTCAGCTTTTCCTCTTCATTTATATATGGGTGAAGACATCTCATTTCAATCTTGTGGCTATTGCTCTTTTCCAGCATCCAAAACTCTTTTCCTCTATCTGACAGGTGACAGTTATTCAGAAAACTGGATGGCTGAATGGAAATACCTTTATACTTTGGCAAGAGAAACCCCCAATACAGGGAAATATTCTTTCTTTCCTGTACCTGCTGAGGGAAATTACAGTACATGGGACTATGGAATTTTGAGAATTATACCCAGCAACTATTTTGATGGGCAGAGGCAAGTGAATATAATAATAATAATAATAATAATAATAATAATAATAATAATAATAATAATAATAATAATAATAATAATAATAATAGCTACCTTATAAGCTGTTGTCTCCTTTGGCATTCAAAACTGAGACTCAGGCTCCATTTCCTGGGAAAAAATGGGGAGAAAACTGGAAGGTCAAAAGTGAGAAAAACTCATAGGTCAACATACAGACAGTTTACTAAGGGAAGAGGAGCATGGAGGAAGAATCATGAAGTCTCCCATGAGCAGACTAATGCACAGTTAGTCACCCAGTAAGGGCTGCTTTGGAAAAACACCCCTGCAGTTTTATTGATGGACCTGCTGGTCTAGGGCATGGAATATCCCTTTGGTCAGCTTGGGCTGGCTGTCACAGCTGTGCTCCCTCCTGGCCTTCTCCCTGGGGCCAGCATGAGACACAGAGAAGACCTTGGCACTGTGCCCGCAGGAGATAAGCAGTGGTTTATCAGTGTTATCAGCACTGTCTTGATCACAGATCTAAAATGTGGCTGCTATGAAGAAAATTACTGCAGCCAAACCCATGCTCTCAGCAGAGTAGGATCTGCTGATTCTTTTGTTTTGTCACAACTGTGGAGGAGTCCCTAATTGTGGAACTCAATCACTGCAGCCACAGCCCTTCCTCTTCTATTTTGTATGCAGGTTTTTGCATTCCTTCAAATTTTATGACCATTTTCTTGTATTTCATTGCATATTTCCCCATGATTTTTGGTGAACTACATCTGTAAGTGCTCCATGGGTATTCCTTCATAATTCTTCCATATCTGCAGGTTTGATGTAGATGTAGACTGTGAGTACATAAATGCCACCTCTTCAGCGTTACAACATATTGCTAATGTGTCAGAACTTTTTTGAACATAGAAGGATAACCTTTTCCCCTTCTAGAAGGCTTTTTATTACACTTTGTATAGATTTTTTTTTTACATGGGGGAAAAGCAGAGTGGCTTTGGAACATTTCAAGGATTCTAAATGGTTTCTGTAGTCATTAGTCCTGATATTACTGCTGTTGTTATGTTTTGTTAAAGAATCCAGATATTCTTCATTCTGGCCTAAATTAAATTACAATGTCAAAAGGCATGAATACAAAACCTTCCTCTAAAAGGATCTATGTAAGCCAGAATCATGATTACTAAAATGTATGCTGATTATTGCGTACTTGCTGCATGCTGTCCTGCCACCTTCTGAATTTGGAAAATTTTGATGTGCCATAACTTTTTGAAGGAAAAGGAGAGCAGTGGGCTTTGCAATGAAATAACTTGGAAGTAAAAAAATGCTTTTAAATTATAATTAGTCATTGAGCCACAGTGCTACTGTCTAAATAGTGCTTGTTCAGCTATCAGATCTATTTTTTGTTTCTCTTTTTTACCAGCAATATTCCATCAATCTGGAGCCCAGACCATGCATTGGCTTGGCACCTTGAGAAAGACTTCAGAAATGACCCAAATGCATGGGCAACTGCAAAATGTATGGAATGGGACAGAAAGGAAGAGTTGCTTCCAAATTTCAAGGAAGAAATTATAGACTGCCCTTGCACCTTGGCACAGGCAAGAGCTGACACTGGCAGGTTCCATGTAAGTTATTAACTGATCCCTCTGGCCTATTACAATTCCAGGTGGAAGCTTTAGGAGTGCCAAACTCCACACACACACCCCTGTTTCCTCTCTAAACATCATTACAAGGACATTAAATTACATATAAATTTGCCCAAGTAGCATATCAAATGGCAGAGGTAAATACAGCTTATCTAGTCAGTATGAATACAAGTGCCTATAGAATAGGAGATGGAAATGACATTCAAACAGGGAATTAAAACAGGAGTTCCAACAGCAGACTGAAAACACTCTGTGGAGCTGCGAGCAGGGATGGCTTCTTCGAGATCCTACAAGTTCACAGTCTGTGTTTGAAGGTGATATCTCATGCTGTGACAAACTATTTCTGCCTAGTTTTTCATACTTTGCTGCAAACCCTTCTGCCATGTACATCAGAGCTCTAATCCATTATTTCCTTTATCCTGCTTCCTTCCTCCTTCTCAGCTTCACTGTTATCAAGGAACTGACAAAAGCTAAGAAATCAATTGCCATTCAGTCTACACTTTCACTTACACTGCTGATCTGAGGACCAGATGAGAGTGACTTCCTCTCCTGTTTATGATACCAAATAGTGGCATGTGGTTATGCATTTAAAAAAAAAGTTTAGGTAAATATTGTTACTATTCTGGTTATGAAGCTCCAAACATGATGTGTAAAAGCTTGTGAAGATAAAGAATAGGTCTACTGCCTCTGTCTAAGAACATAGGATAAACATTTACTCTGTGTCTGTGTTTGTTGTACACTTACAGTTGAATCCCATCTGGCTGCCTTTGTTCTTCAAGGTCTGTTGTAACAGACTGCAAAATGTTCAGGTCAGACACGTGCTCCAGACATTTGAGTATTAAATTCACCATTTTTCCTATCATTCCACACTGTTCAACACAACCTTAACCAGTTCATGTCAACTTTACACACATGTCAGATACAAAAGGTGGGAAGAGAATGTAAGAACAGAAAGGACAATGAGACAAGAACCCCATTAAGTGTGAACATTGATCTTTTTCAGACAGATTATGGCTGTGACATTGAAAAGGGGAGTGTGTGTACTTATCATCCTGGTGCTGTGCATTGTGTAAGAGCCATTCAAGCCAGGTAAAGAACTTCTTTTAAACCGCATTTTTTTGATTAATCCTTTCACCTCAGAGACAGCATCATCACAGAAGTCGGGGTGAAGTCTGATTGGATATCAGATAAAGCTTGGCAAACAAAATATTTGGCTGTATCCATAAAAAGTCAGTAAGCAACCCCTAAATAGAAACGTACCCCACAGAGCTAAATGATGATTTTCTTGCTGCTTTTCTCAATCAGTCCCCAGTATGGGGCTGGACAGCAGTGCTGCTATGACTCCACGGGAACCCAAATCCTCACATACGACTCCACCGGAGGCAGCACACCTGATCGAGGACACGACTGGGGCTCACCACCTTTCTTGAAGCCTCCCCGGATACCTGGCTTTTCCCACTGGCTTTATGATGTTATCAGCTTCTATTACTGCTGTCTGTGGTCTGAGAATTGTGACTTCTATATGAAAAGGCGGCCCTCTAGTGACTGCAGGACGTACCGCCCTCCCCGAGCTGGTAAGGGCTCCAGATTTCCTTATGGGGTGTAGATTTTTCATAGTATTGGCTTCTAGAATATTTGTATATGTGCATATATGAGTTGACAATGGTGAGGGTATAATGTCCTGTGAAAAAATTCCATGGAAAGTTTCTCTTGATATATCACTTACAAAATCTGTATGTGTTTTTTAATTATGCTGCAAGATTTTCTGCTGTTGAGCATTTCACTCACCCCTGGAATCTAAACAGCCAAAGCAAAAAAAAAGAGGTTAGAGATGGTTAATGACAGCTAGGAAGCAGCTAGAAAAGCTGTCATGATGAGAAACATTCATATCAAATAAGAAAGTTTTACAATTTACAAGATGTCTGGTGTTCTCCTGCTTGCTTTTAAATCAGTCTTCAAGTCTTGCCATACCTCTGTTGCTACCACATTTTGCCTTCTATGCTGCTGAGGTGTCCAGCAGGACTTGGCCTGCCATAAAGATGTGCAAAGAGGGAGCAGTTTGCATCAGGAAAAAAGGAGAAAACTGTAGAGGGCACTGCATTAGGTAGTTAGGGGTCATGAATGAGTGGTCTGGCTGCTTAAAGAAACTCCATCAAAAGTATTGGCAGAAATAGACTTTGAATTGTGAAAATACAACTTTACAACTTGTATTAGTTACCATACAGATTAAAGCATACAAAAGAAGATAAATTAGTAGGAACGTGCAGCAGTTTACATGGAAGTTGGAAATGCAAAAGGGGATTAAGGGTGCAAAGGATATGGATGCAAAGATAAAGCAATAGCTCTGTATTCATGTCTAAATCTCCCCATATATTGCATGTGACACAGACTTCTAGCCTCTTTCCTTTCTCATGAACTTGAGGACTAACAGGTTGTGATTTTTGCTTGATCTTAATTCTCTTTTTGCTTTTAAAAATAGCATCTGCTTTTGGGGATCCTCATTTCTTTACATTTGATGGTCTGAACTTCACCTTCAATGGCCTAGGAGAATACACATTGGTAGAGTCTGATCTCACATCCCTGAGAGTGCAAGGGAGGACACAGCAGGCACACTTTCCCAATGGTAAGTTGGTAAGAGAGGAAGCAGAGCTTCTGAACTTTGAGATTTGCAGAACTGAGATTTGATATTTGCTTGATTTGCACTTAGCAGCAATCCTCCTGTTGTCTCTAGTCCTCTTTTTTGGCCATTTGTGAACAGTCACCATTCTGAAGATAATCAGAAAGCAGACAACATCTTCAGGAAAAGCTTCCCAATCAAAGTTTAATTGCTAGGTTTTTTATTGGGTGTGATTAATGGAAGTGTAAAGTTTTCTACTGTGTTTAAGAGCTCCAAAAAATTCTTATTTCTCTCCGTGCCCATTCTCATCAATAAGGAAACAGAAGGCCAGTTCTAGAAATCAGGCAATGCCAGCTGATGCATTTTGATAGCATTGTTTTTTTTCCATTTGGAAGGAACTGGGGCTCAGGGGACAGGCCTGTCTGCAGTGGCCATGCAGGAGAACAACTCTGATGTGATTGAAGTGCGCTACTCTGAGGATTTGCACCTGGAGGTCCTCCTGAACCAGAGGGTTCTCAACTTCTCTGAACAAACTTGGATGGACTTGAAAGGTTAGTTACACATATCAGCCTTGTAAGCAATTCCATTCTGATGAAGCCCATGGATAGTTGAAGGTGTCTCTAGGTGCATGCATTCCAACTCTTTTTTTCAGCATCCTTTTGTCAAGTGTTTTAGGTGGCTTCAGTGTCCATGGTTTCTATGTCCTCTTTCAGTAGTTTGTAGTGGGAAGGTGTGGCTTCCCTTTAAATGCTTCTCAGAGTGCAGCTCAGAGTGGAAGGGAAGAAAAGCTGTATGAAAAAATGGTTAAAACTGATGATTTAAACTGATGCTAAAACACAGCATTTTTTTCACTGTAGATAATTAGCTGTTTTCTCTTCCTCTCATGGTTATAGGTCTCTTTCTCTATTCTACACCTGATCAGAACATCACAGTGATGTTCTCTTCTGGGTCTGGAGTGGAAATAAGGGGAAATGGAGGATTTCTGACCCTGACAATTCTGCTCCCAGAGAAGTTTATGAATCACACATGGGGTCTCTTTGGAGTAATGAATGACAATCCACAGGATGACTACACCTTCAAGAACAAAACCACCATGTCAGTTCATGCAAGTCCCCAGCAGGTGTTTGAGTTTGGAGCTAGCTGTAAGTAATTTCTATGGTCTATTATTACATTTTCTTTACAAATTTAAGACAGATTATGATTTAAGGACTAGGAAATGAAGTCTGTGCCAAGCAACCAGTACTGGGGGAAGAGAAGGGAGTAAGAGAAATATTCCCTCCTCTACCCACCTGGGGAGTGAAAACAGAGCCATGATGGAATGTTGAGCACTTTGTACCTGTATTTCTTCCAGCTACATTTCTGTAGATAAACACTTGGATTAATAGCAGAAGGTGGTCTGTGTTGGCAATGTTATGCATGAATCTCTTTCTGTCTCCCAAGGGGCAATTGAAAATGGAACTTCTCTCTTTACTTATGACTCGGAGTTCTTACTGGACAGTTTCTTTTATGGGGACAAGCACAATGCCTCCTTCCTGCCCGTGTTCTCCCCTCCTGAGGACCCTGCTGATCCCCAGCTAGAAGAGATGGTCTCACACTGTGGCTCGGACCCATTCTGCAGATTTGATGTCCTGACAACAAGAAACCTTCAAGTGGGAAATTCCACAAGGCTTTCCCATCAGAATCACAAGCTGCTGGTAGAACATCTAGAGCCAGGTGATTCCACAAAACATCATTACAGAATAACAGGATATTCTGAGTTGGAAGGGACCCACTGGGATCATCAAGTCCAAACCTTAAGTGAATAGCCCATAGAGAACATCACTATAGATATTTCTGCTGGGCATCTAAAGAGTTAACACTGTTTGAGGAGGCCTTGCTTAACTGTAGGCTCATGCACCTATAAATAGTCTGATTTTGGGGAATCATCTTTGTACCAGGAAATCTCTGTGCTGATAGAATACTTGGGCAAACTAAAAAAAAATTTCTTTGCATTTCTTCCACTATAACATCACAGTGTAGAAAGTTTATCTTCATTTTATATGCATTAAGCTGTCTTCCTTGGACTTAAAAATAAATTTTAAAAGTAGCAGGAAGTATTGTCTTTCAGATAGTTTAAAAATCTTTGGTTTTCCATGAGTTGCCACTAAAATTCTGTTTGAATCATTGCAATGGAGATTTGCTGGTCTAAGTCCTAAATACTCTAACCAGATATGTTTCTTTTATTAGTGATCTCTTGTGGCTGGCTGGGTCATCCAACCAATGGAAGAAAGAATAGTACCAACTACCTGCTGGGCTCAACCATCAATTTCACCTGCAGTGAGGGCTATGAACTCACAGGCGGGTCACAGGAGAGAACCTGCCAAGTGTCAGGAGCCTGGTCAGGAGAGACACCCCAGTGCAGCCAAGAAACAGGTCTGTTGCCTTTTAGGTATCACATATTGTCACTAAAAATCATTATCTGGGACAAGGCAATCTCAGAATACCATGACGGCCCTTGACAAAAGCAACTTCTCTTACTTGGTAAAGCATTGGACATGAGATGTCTGAATTTCTAGAAAGACTGTTATTCAAATATAAATAACAGGTGACTTAGGGTGGTTTTGTGTGTTTTGGTGGAGGTATTTTTGTTTTATCAATGGGTACAGGTACCTGAAGGGTGGGTGAAAAGAGGATGGAGCCAGGATTTTTTCAGTGGTGCTCAGGGACAAGAGCAGAGGACACAGGCAGGCTCTGAAACACAGAAGCTTCCCTATGAACATCAGAAACCGCATTTTACTGTGATTGTGACTGAGCACTGGCACAGAGAAGTCTGAATATCTCCCTGCCTGGAGATATTCAAAAGTTGTCAGGTCATGGTCCTGGGCAACTCACTCTGTGTAGTCCTGCTTTAACAGGGGAGTTGGACAAAATGACCTCCAGAGGTCCCATCCCACCTCAGCTGTTTTCTGTGATTCGAGAGCACACACAGCCCACACTTGTTGAACTCTTTCACTTTTTCTTTCTAAAATATTATCTTATCTCAAAACATAATTCTATTATTCTATAGCAGTAAAATATTGTGAATGATGCAATAGTATTTAGTATAAATAACACAGATTTATCCCCCGTCTTGTGTCACTACTAATAGATTATCAGTTAGCCTGGGATTGTTGGATTTAGTAGCAGTTTAGTAGCATAGGCTGTCTCTATGATTTACAGAAAATGGCCCAAAATTTTCTTTTCATTCATTCACCACATACACTCCAAATGTCCTCAAGATGGCAATATTTCAAAGCATCAGGGTGGTGCAAGGCCAGATGGCATGTTGAAACACTTTCAATGCTGAGTTAATAGCTCCCAAAAGCACTCATCAAATAATTCATACTAACAGATTCTCCATTCTGAGACCCTTCCAAAGAAATGTGGGAAGTGCATTTCACATCAGCAACGAATTCCTGTCATGCTGGCACATTTCATCAGCCTCTGCTGCCTGTACCAATTGCTTGTACATTTCCAGTGCAGTTCTCAACTTAGTAATATTTGTAAGATGAACTGCAGTGAGTTTGGGCAGCAGAAAAATTCACAAAGGCCAGATCTTAACTAGGCAATGGCAAAACTTTCTGCCAAGCTGAAAGCTAAGAATATTTTTCCACTGCTGCCATCAACCACATACATACTGGATAAGAGCCAGTCAGTCTCAATAAGCAAAACAGATGCTGACATTTACACTAGCAAAAGGGGGACAGAAAGGCAGCCCTGTGAGATCAGAGGAAAGGAGCTGGAAGATATGCAGGGATTGATTGCATTCAGAATGATGGAGATGTGACACAGCTTTGTGGATAAGCAAACAAAACCCACAGTGTTTTCCAATGCTTTCCTGGAAGGTGACAAAGAAAAACAAGGTGTGAAAGAATTTTATTGATCTGATTGCAGCAAAGATCTTCCTTACTATTTGATATTTGATGTTCTAGTTTTTGTAATGTGAACCAAAATTGATGGTTTTTATTAGCTGCAGGAAGTTGGAGTATGGCAATGCTGCCCACAGCAGCAGGATGCTGACAACACCAACAACTGAGCAACACAATATAAAATACAAATTTCTCCATTCTTTTTTCTTACTGCTATGCCCTAATAGTGGCATTTATAGCTAGCCTTGTTTCTCCTTCTTCCATAAGGTGTTCTGCTAGATGTCAGTGATTGTTTGTGAAGGTTATTTTATTGACAGGCCCAGGTCTCTACAGAGAAGGGAGGCAACACAATTCAAAGTTCCTTTCACTAATATCTAAACTTCTCATATTTTTTTAAGCATGGACAGCTAGTACTTGCTTTCCACTAAATAAACTTCTGCCCCTGGTCCAAGACACAGCTGAAATCCAGTGCCAGTTTTCCTTGTCTTACTTCTCTACTTGGCTATTTTCTCTATTCTCCATTCCCCAAGTCTTCTCCAGAACAGAAAAGGTCCTTGTGTTGTCAAAATCTATTGTTCCCGAGGTCAGTTTTCTCTATTGTTTTCCTCCTTACACAGCAGCATGCTGCTGTTTCACCAACATCCATTTTATCAAGTCCTGTGACAAAGACCTTCTTGACACCAGGAAAATGCTGACAAAATTAATGGACAGCCTTCCCAATTTCTGGGTGCCTGAATGGGCAATCACTGACCTAGCCACTGTGATCAGCAGTCACTTTTTTACTTTGAAAGTGAACTGTTACAGACACACTTTGTCAAGTTATTTCTTTCATGCTGCTCAGGAGCACAGGGCCCAGCCTTCTGTAATTCTAAGCTTACAGGTGTATTTCTTTACAGTTCTGTGTCCATGACACTGCAGTTTTGTGGCACATCAGGTTCAAGCTCTGTTTTGCAAATCATCAAGGTTTTTTTAAATTGCTATATGCCTTTTCAAAAGAGAATATTTAAAATAAAGATATGAGAACCAGGAAAATTGGATAGAAAAAGAGGTGGAAACAAGAAAATGTAATGTCAGTTATTTAACAAAATCCATTTCGGTATTTTGAAACTTCAAATACAAATTATGTTGTTGGGCCTGCATATTGTTGTTTTTGAGTTTTGCGTCCTTGGACTAAAGTTTCCATGGAAATCCTCTGCTAATAATTATTTTGCTATGCTTCTAATTACAATCCCACTGCAAGTCTTGCCAGTACCACAGCAAGCTCTCTTCACAGAATATCACAAAGAGGAAGAACAAAGAAGCCATCCAGCAAAAGCAAAAAGGAGATTCTAGTAAAATGAGATGTAATATCTAGCTAAAAATCATAAGACAGTGGCAACACATGTACATAGAGTCTTTTTGAGACAGACAATATGGTGATATTAAGGGCAATCTAGTTTTGTTTGTCTTTTGGGTTACTTTCTCCTTTCCCCCCCTTCTCCTCTATTCACTTTCAGATTTCCTTTTCCAGTCTCAGGCTCTGTGTAAATGCTGTTCATTTTGAAAAGCTGTCAGAAATCTCATTAGTCTTCTGTGTTTTTTCCAAACACAAAGATTTCACAACAGAGGCAAATCACTACTGGACTAACTACTTTAGCCAGTGGTGGGTTCTCATCACTTGGCAGGGACTGGTGCCTCCCTGTGAAGGATGTGTAAAACAAACATTAAGCCTTGTTAAGAAGTTACTGGATGATGGATCAACGCTTGTGAAACAGTTTATGTATCCCATTTCTTTCCTTAAACTTCACTATAAACCAAATCAGCAGCTGAATAATCTGTTCTAGGATCACAGAAGTGTCTGTTATGCCATCACTGTGTGCTAGGCTGTGGGTTGGGCAGGTGTGACAAAGTGATGGAAGGAAGGGCTGACAAAAATGCAGCCCTGATGTATTGAGGCTCAGATACAAAATGCAGGAATCATTGTTTCTCCCAGACAGTTCACTCCACATGCTGCATCTCTTAACTTTTACAAATATTCTTATATGGTAATCTACCACTGCTTAGTAGAATAAGAAAACAAAATGATAGTTTTTATTCAAAATTTATTTCATATCTGGTTTCTTTCTCTCTTTCAGGTGTCCTTGTTAGGCAGTCACAGAATCAAGTTGACACTTTTCGTGTTTTAGTGTGTTCAAACTCACTGATGCAGTTCAATGTACCCACATCAGAGCAGTCACTTCTCTTTTATGTAGCTTATTAAGCAGCAAAGGTAGTTTCAAAATTTAATACCAAAATAGGGGCAATATTTAAAGTAATCAAACCGTATGAAATAAGGATTGAAAACCATTACAGTTGTTGAGATTGACAGTTCCACATCAGTATTGCACATTCAAAATGTTGACTACATATTACCCACTAGCCACCCTTTGTGTTACAAAGCTTTTGCAGCCACCTGCCCTAACAATCAAATGTAGGAATCCTGTGAGTTCCTAATCTTTACCAGTTTCAGAGAATCTGAAAGGGTAAAGGCTTGGAAGGGACCTCTGGACACCATTCAGTCCAATCCCACTGCCAGGGGAGGCAGTTCCACAAAAAAAACAGAATATAAAAATTAACACTATATGTACAATTTCAAAAATTGTCATGCAATTGCATTCAAACAGATATGAAAAAATGTATATCAAAGCCTTCATGGGTTTTTTTTGTGGTTGGTCTCTGTTTTTCAGCTATCAAACAAGTAATTGTTATTGGCAGTGTATTTGGATTAGTGGGCCTTGCAGTCCTGGGACGTCTGGGTTATTTATGCACAAAGAAGAGGTAAGCCTTGACTGAACTGAAAACACAAATGAATCTCCTAAAGAAATAGCAACTGCTATGACTTTTTAAACAATAATTTAGTAATGACCACTGGCAACAAACTGCTAGTGTGCTACAGGTAAAAAAAAGTGCAACTGACGTGTAAACACTTAACTGTGTGTGAAACTGACTAGTGGAGAAAGAGGGCAGAGTAGTGAATGAAAATGGTTTTGCCAGGAATACTGGTGGGTTGAAATGGAGATATGGTTGATTTTCTGGACTTTGTTAGCAACTGTTACAAATTTTTAATCCTTCTCTGTTCCAGTGTTCACAAGTAATAGAATGCCAGATAAAATGGAATCAAAATTGAGTGAATGGAAACAAAACGAGGTTCCAGCCTTTGGAAAGAAGACTCTATGTGTAAAGAAGAACCTGAACCTGTCACAAAAAAAAGGAAAAAAAAAAGCACAGTGCCAAGCTAACAGAACACTGATATTGTTTTTCAGTATTTCATCACTTAAAAATGCTACATTCACAACAAATTCAGCTCCAAGAAATAAGAATGTGGCATATTATGCTGTGATATTAAAATTTATGCGTGAAGCCACGCTATTATATGAAGACCATTTTTTGCTCTCTGTATGTGTCACAAAGGCCAAAAGAAATGTAAGCATATTTTCCCCCTCAAAATCAACTTTATATGGCAGGAGGTTTCTGTATGCTGAAAGTGAGATGCCTCCACACTGTGTATTGATACAATAGTTAAGGCCTTCAAACTGTATTTTGATTGTTCCCCTTCAGAATAGCAAATTGTTCTCTGCCTGTATGGGTTGCTATTTGATTACACAGCAGTGTTGTAAAAGGGGTACAAGGATGTACCTTGTACAAAGGATGTTTGCCCTATTTCTGTTCCTGACAAAGCAACTTTTTAAATGCTTTTTAAACTCTTCGTGTGGGGGGTTTTTCATATTGGTTGGTTCTTAGCAAAGCTGTTTTACCATTACTAAAATGTCTCGCAGACTGGGTAAAGACTTTGTAAAAGTTTAGGCGATTGCTTGACATTACCACCTTGACACTTTGTCCTTTGGGATCTTCATGTAGATGAAAACAAACAAACAAAAACTCAAACCAAACGAACCACAAATACAAACCCTATCTCTCTGCACATGCATTTTCAGAAAGCAGCGATGCTCCTTTCGGTCGGGAGCTGCTGGCTGCTGTGTTTGTGTTTTTTGTCGCTCTGGGTGTGTGTTGCGCTGTTAGCGTGGGTGTCCCCTCACGTCCCCATGTCCGTGCCCGCCCGCCAATGCCCCGGGTCCCTGGGCGTGGTGGGCTCCTGTGGCTGTGTGTTCCTGTCTGTGTGGCTGTCTGTGCGGCTGTGTTCCTGTTTGTGTGTCTGTCTGTGTTCCTGTCTGTGCGGTTGTCCCTGCCACCCGCGGCCGGGACAGCCCGGCCTCAGCTCCGCCCGCCTCGGGACGCGGCCTGCGGGGGACACGGCGGCTTCAGCAGCCGCGCTGCTTTCTGCCAGCGCTCCCCGGTCACTTCTGTGGGGCGACTGCTCTGCCTTTTCACTTTTAGAACGACGCCCCAAATGGCAGCGTGCGGTGCTGGCACCTCGCCGCCCGCGTCCCGCAGAAAGTTGGCAGTGTTCTCTCCCTGTGCCGTGTCCGTCCGTGCCTTTGCGGCTTCAAGAGAGGAGAGCCGGGCTGCACCTGCGCTCGCCCATCGGCTCCGACACCCTCAGGGGGAGCCCAGCGGGGCAGGGGCAGCGCCAGGCCCCGGGGCTGAGGGGAAGAGGTCTTGCCCGTCCTCTTCCGCGGGACACTTGGGAGTGACGAGAGCAAGGCTTGGACGCTGCTGGGATGGAGGAGTCTGTGTGTTTGTGTGTGTGTGTTTGTAGTGAGGCGTCCCGGCTAGCGAGGAGGGTTCCGCGGGGCCAAAGCGCTGCCCCGGGGCGAACAGCACCAGCCCGAACGTGTCGGTGTCAGAAGTGGAAGCGGCAGCCCTGCGGTCCCGCGCCGCAGCAGGTTGGGATGTCGGTCTCTATCCTTTCCTGTCACATGGCTGGTAATAGGATCCCTCATCTGCCACTCGGCACCTCGCCGGGGCGCACTTACAGGACACATGCTGTAGGGCCTCCGCTTCCCGCACTTTGCGCTCTTCCCGGCCGCCTGCCACCCCCGGAGAGCCGGGGCTGCCGCCTGCGAGCGCGACGCGGCCCGGCGGCCGCTGCCTATGGAGCCTCCCGCCCTCGCCGCCGTCCTGGCCTTCTCCGGGCTGGCGCTGAGCTGCTGCCGAGAGCCCGTCCTGTCCGGTGAGTGCCGCTCCGCGGGGAGCCGGGAGGGGGGCGCGATCGGGGCTGCTCCCCGAGCTCCCGGCCGGGCTGAGCGGTGAGGGAGCGGGGCAGCCTCTCCCGAGCTCCGCAGCCCCCCGCGGAAGGGCTCTGCCGGCCGGCAGCGCCTCTTGGAGGTCTTGACGACGTCCCTTCCTGCTCGGCAGAGCCGTGCCGGGCTCGGAGCTGCTGGTGCGAGCACCCAGCGGGTGTTTCTGCCGGGAGTCCCGGTTTGTTTGAGGCTCTCCCCGTGCTTGCTGAACTGGGAGCTCGGGTTCTCCTATGAAAGCATGATGTGAGAGAAAGGAGCAGCACGTTTCTCTGTAAAAGTGGTTCAATCTGCGGAATGGAGGCATTTAAAGGGAGAGGGGCGTGCGGTTGTTTGTGTCACTGGGGAAGAAGCTGGGGCAGCAGAGCCAGAGCTGGAAGGGTGAGCATCCCGCCTGTCCGCAGTGTGCTGCCCCAGCTCCCGGCCAAGCCTGGGCTCATCTCACCGTTTAGAAGCCTGAAGCTTCACTTGCTAAGGTGATTTTTCACTTAAAATTTCTCGGCAGCCTTTTGTCCTCCTTTTAGTTGTTACTAATGATTTCAAGTGCTGTGGTTCTTCTCTGGTAAACATTGGCCATGATTTGCAAGATCAGAAGTGGCAGTTCCAGATGGTCACAGCCATCAGATGTGTGGTCCTTCTGGATACGTTTTGTATATTCTTGATTGCTATCTCTTCTTACAAAGTAGAATTTGCTCTCTTTCTTTTTGAACACATACTTGCTCATCAAGTTTTTGTAGATGCAACTAATTAGATACGGAAAATACTTGCATAGCGATTTTCAGGGACTAAAAAATCTTTTACAAAAAAAAAAGCTCTGGTAAATTTTACTTCTTCTCAGAAGTAAAACATGAAAGTATTTTCAGATAAGCATTTAGAGAGCTGCCTAGACAGAGACCATGTCTAAGAGTCTTTTCCCAGTACCATTGGGACGTGCTTGGCGCACACAGTGGATGCTCCTTCCTTTGCTTGGGTTGAAGAATGTTTGCTTGTAAGGTTTCTGAACAGAACACTCCATGTGTAGCCATGTCTCTCACAGAGGGCTCTGTGACAGCCAGTGGAGGATATAGCCCAGCATGAATATTTGGCTATTAAAGAGGACAGAAATGCCTGAGCACAAGCAGCTGGGGCAGGGGGAGGAGGGAAGGGTATATAATGCCTCCAAAAGAAAGTGCAGCAAGGGAGAATGCATCTAGAAAGCACTGCCACCCATGTGTCTTCTGCTCAAGAACCTGGAAACAGTGAAAATACAGCAACTTGTAATTTATATGGCAAGTACAGGATCTGCAGAGTTCCTGATCTGCACAAGGTACACGTCAGGGTCTTCATTTAAACCCTGAATCCCTCAGGGTTGAACGGGATCAGCTGTGTCAGGTTGCACTTGAAACTAGCAGAATTCTGAAATGACAAACATTACTATTGCTTTTGGAAGGCAGTTTGTTGTATGGTATGTTTTTAATGCCTTTTCCTTGTTTTCGTTGTTAATGCATGTCCTTATAAGCTTATTGTAAAGTGCAGTCAAAATAAAAACTGTGTCACCATCACTTGCTAAGATAGGAGAAAAACTTCAGGAATTCCTATATGAGAAATTACTCCAGTTGTCAGAAATGAAAGTGAATTAACAACCATTTTTGCACATAGTATTATGGTACTTTCCACATAATGTTTCTGCTTTGCCATGCAATGTTCAACAGTTTCTATTAACTCAAACACTGATATTTCTGCATTCAAACCTTGGCATTTGTGCATTCAAACATCAGCCATACATAATTTCTCAAGTGGATCAGAAATAAGATGTGTGTGGGTAGATTACCTATCATTAAAGCACTGTTTGAATTTGGTGAGTTTTTTGTTACAATGCCAAAAAATGGAAATGCTTTCAGCAAATGTTAGTTTTGGTGAACAAATGTTATTTTATATACTCAGTGCAATAAGTTGTAATTTCTACTTTCTGTATTTATACCATTCATTTAATTTCCCCATCAGAAATGTATGTGATTATCAATCTCTTTTTCCTTTCTCTTTTTCTTTCCATTTAGCAATACTGAGTCACCATGTCCTTGGTTTTTTTCCCAGCTGAGTCTTTCCTTTGAGCTGTTACTCCAGCCTTCTCTTACAAACCTGGTATCTCTTGCCATCTTATTCTCTCTAAGCCTTGGTGATTCAGAGAAGCAGTTCCACTTGATATGCCATAGGCAAGCCTCATAAAAATACTTTAAAAAGCAATTTTTTTTCTTTCTAACTAGGCAGATAGGGGATGAGATAGTCAGACATTTCAGCATATCATGCTTGTACATGCATAGAGCATAACTCAAAATCCAGAGTTATGTGAATAGATTTAAGCAGGACGGAGCCAAAGAAGTAGGAGGGAGGCAGGGATTGCATGCTGCCAGCTGCAAAATTTTCATTTTTGTCATATCACACCATAATGGTTGTGCAACTGACCACTCCCTTCATCCACACCGTGGCTATGGCCCATCCTGATCAAATTGCCAAAGGGATTCAGCCCTGCCACACTTGACAAGGGAACAACAGTTTGAAAACTCCACAAAGAAAGAAAACAAATGGGTGTATTAAGGAACAGAAATTCTTACGGGGTCACATCACACATTCTTACTTCCAGTGATAAAGAATCACAAGGCAAGCAAGTGTGTTTGCATCTTGTGGCTGAGGACCAGCCAGCAGCTGCAAAGCTCTGGCTAATACAGCATGTTTGTATTGTGCAAATAAAAAGACAAAAGGGACAGAATGCACTTAGAAATAATGGGAGCTGTCTCTTGTGCTCATAACCTAACTCGTCTGCTTCCAACATATTCCAGAAAAGGTCTGACCAGACAGATTTTTTTTTTTAACAAATAAAAAGTGATGAAAAGTGATTAACCTGATGATTAGAGTCAAAATTTCACAAGGATAGCAAGTTCACATGTATGACAGCTCACACACTGCCAGGGAACACAATTATCAACTCTGTATGTCTGTACATTTCCAGGAATGTGCATTTTTACAAGACAGATGCTTCAGTCAAGGTTTGAGCAAATCTCAGGTGGCATAATTCAAGCAGAATCAGATATTCACTGTGGCTACTCTCTGGCTTGGACCAATGCTAATTAGGTCTCTAGTTCTGACTAGCAAAAATGATTGCATTTGAGGACTTTCAAAAATTAAATATGTATGTCTGTGTGTGTGTTTGCATGGATATGTAGAATGAGCAGATACAATTCTTAAACTACAAGTGGAGTGCCCCCACATTGTAAAGGAAAAAATGATCAGCTAATCAAGTGCCCTCATAGCATCACATCAAAATTTAACTGTCTGATTTAAGAAATGGGGAGTTGTTTCTAGGAATTTAGAAAATTTCTATTTTAAACAAAGATAATTCTTTCATGATGGTTTTTCTTTAGCTTGTATCAACTGTTCTATTGTGGGAGGTTCTTGCTGCTACAGCCCAGGCACAGAAGCCTGACAGTTTTGATGAGTGGTTGTATTATATTAGTATGAATTGGAATAGAAAAGTATTGAAATGCAAAAATAGTACACTATTTTTTTACTTGGGTAGATCTAAATTAGCCTTAAACTTCCCAAAAGCATTTATTTTGCATCATAATATGGAATGAGATTTTTTTTTTCCTGACCACTCTTATGATAGTATGCAAATTTACTTTTGGTTCAGTCGATAAAACTGCATCTTCAAAGAAAACCATTGCAATGCTAAAAATATTTTTAATAATGACCACAGAAGCCATATTTGTGTCTTTCATCTCCTGAAGCTTCTTCTGGTTTTAATCAGTGTTCCCACATGAAGAACTGTGGCAACCTATGATAATAGAATCCCTATTCACATCTCTGGGGAAACAGCAATGTTCTCATTTGAAGAAGGTGATGTGGTGTTCTGCCCCTTCCACCCGTGGGCCCCTGCCTCTGTCACTGCCGGGGTATCTTGGCATCACTTAAGTGGTTTCTGTCCTTTCCTCTCTGCATTACTTTCTCATTGAAGTGTTTCTGCTGTCTAATTATACCCTTTCAATCAAATTAGAGACTGCAGCATCTGGTTAGTGCCTGTAACTGTTGCCATCTGCACCTAGATACAGTGCTTCCATTTAAGGAGGAGTGCTTAAATTGCAATCTCCAGCAAGAACTAGAACAGTTTAGATAGAATGGAAATGACTTAAAATTATTCTTGGAATACTCTGCAAGCACATGCATCAGGCAACCCACACTGAGTCACTATCGGACCTGGCACCCTTGGTTTCATACCCTTATATTCTGCTTAAGCATTTTTCTGACTTCTCTAAAGGGCTGTAGGAAAAACAAGTGAAAACTGAGCAGGCAGTCATACCACATAAATTCAAGGAACCTTTAATTTTTGGTCCAACCTTACATTTAATTACAATGCTGTAATGAAACCCAAGATTTAAATAGTAGCCACTTTCATTTATCTTTCATTAATCTGCAGATCTTTAAAAGAAAACCTTGCTTATTGTTGGGCAGTAGGTGGTAGGATAATTCCTGGCTTGGGTAGGCTAGTTTCAGGTTGATAATTGTTGTCAGTCTCTCTGGACGCTGCTCAATGCTCCAAGTAGCTTTGAAAACATTAAGCAAACAAAGTGGTTTGGTTTGTTTTTTTTCCTCTCCAGTGGAATAGGAAGAAGTTTGTCATTCTGAATTTTCAGTCTCAAAAGCTATGTACAGGCCTCAAACTTGGAAAGTACTCTAAGAAGTCATTTAAACCACCCTGAAACCTCCATCCCTTCCATCTGCAATTTGTAGTGTCTCTAGATAGATGTCTTTGAGAAAATCATTGGAAGCCAGTGCAGACTCTGAAATGCCAGTGATTTATCATCAATAAAACATCAGGCTGTTATAGTCTGCACTACCTTAATTTTTCAAATGATCCTAAAGTGGCGCCCATGTGGAGTGCAGGCAGCCATGCAGTCCCAAAGTAACAAAGGAAAATGATCATTGTAAGGTCCCTACATTGAAGAAGAAACCGACACAGATGGAAAGAATTTCTACAACAGCTGCTGTTTGATCTTCCAAATGTTGATCTGGCTCTAATAAAACTAATTGTGAACCTGTATCACACACTGAGTATTCACTTACAGTGGACAACATCCCTAGTCTTGTTTTCTGCTTTTTTGTTCTAGCAGTTGTCACTCAGTACATACTTACCTAGCCTCAGCTTTCATTTTAAAAGTTACTTGCTGTCAACCATGGCACCTGATGTGTTGAAAACTAAACAGCACTGACAACAAAGTGCTGTCCCTCTTTTCTCATCACGGCTCATGGACAGCATCTGTTGGGACCTTTTGTGACTAGAACCACTGCAAAGGTTCTCTGATTAATTATCTCTGATTAATTCTGTTTACAGACATCCCCATGACACAGCAGAAGCAGCAGGGTCATTAGGCAGTTAATTGAGTGAAATCATCATGGACACTGATTCTAATCACAGATTTGACATAAGCCTCTACTTCAGACTATGTCTGAAACCCAGCTGACTAAGATCTTAGAAGTATGAGGTCACACACTTCTAGATTTGAATGGTCACAGCTTTCTTCACGTCCTGTCTGAAACGCTATTGTTTTAGTAGAGTTTTATAGCACACAGGATGGTCTGAGCCTTGCGTGCCTGAACAAAATCCATGTGGCAAATCTATCAAGCACAGTGGCAACCTGATGCCTTCTTGGGGGCTGTAGTGTCCCCAAGGTGTCTGTCCTTGCCACTGGGAGAGGATTTGAATACAGTGCAAGTTCTGCCACAGTTTACCATAATCTTACAAAACTTCAAGGAATAAGGCTTGCTGAAATTCACAGAACCATATGCATTTTCTTGAGGCACTGTTCTGATGTTACATTCCAAGTGAGGGGCTTCATACCCTAAAGTGTCATGGGAGTATCACTCAACCTAAGGGTGCCACAACACAGAGGTGGTTGTTGCTGCTTGATTTACTCCTTTCCCCCTCCCTTTTGCATAATTTACCAAAGAGAAATCAGGTGATTTGAGTAAACTGAAAAGTTTTACCAACAGCACTCAGTCCAGTCTTTTCTGACTGTTTAGTTTAGATGACCTCATCTGAATTCGTTTTATGCAGACAAATCTAGGTGACTTTTTTTTAAGCTCATCTTTTCACAGAATTATTGCACCAGTGGTACAAAAACCAAAAGTAGGGTGGAGGTTCTAACTTCCTGTTCTCCAGAATCTCTTAGGGCTTGGATTTGAAATAGAGAGGACAGTGGCCTTTCTGCAGACAAAACATGCACCTTCAGCACTTTGAGAGTATTAATTTCATGGTGAAATCACTAAGGTAGTGTCTTGGCTGTCACACAGCAAAATATGATGAAATCACTGTGTGTGACAAATAGAAGAATTTTTTAGTTGCTGCCAAGTAGTGCTTACTCTAAATCAAGCACTTCTCAGTTTCCCATGCTTAGCCAGTGAGCTCAAGACACCAGGAGGGAGCATAGCAAGGACAACTGACCTGATTTTTTGGAATGCCAATATTTATTTGAAAATACTGCACTCCCATGCTATGGCAAAATCATTATTAATCCTTAAGAAAATCCAAATTCCCTGTAACACAAAAGGTTTTGTGTTTCATTTGATAACAGCTGCTAAATTCCATGACTTAAAGTTTTCATTTCAGTGTTTCAGGGATAATCAATGATTTTGCATGGTATCTCACTGCCTCCCCTTTCCCCATCCACATCGAAGCCAGAGGAGCTTTGTTACTCAGCTGAAACATTTGCACCAAATCTCTTGATAGCACAAAGGAACACAGGAGGCACTGATACAGCTACCTATTGTCTGGGGAACAAAAACTGCAGTTAAGAGGAATGAAGAGAGATAGGTAGGTAAGATAGGTAGGCTCGGACTATCTACCTTTTCTTTCTTAAAGTGCAGTGAAGTTTGAAGAAAATCAGTTAAAAAAAGCTGACATGAAAATGTAAGTCAGTACTGCAAGTTAAAGCATGGGCCAGTCTTAGCAGATTCTAAAATGGACTGAAGTTAACTTGAGTTTAGTTTTTGTGCCAGACTAAATTCAGGTATTGTAGCATTCCTTAAATTTCTGAGTAGATGGAAGTACATATTGTTTTTCATTTAGGAGTGAGAAGTGAAAAAAAAAATAAAAGCACAAAGCTAATGTAGATATCTTTTCTGGATGTGCTTATCACTTTTCACAGATTCTTTTTTCTGCTTATTATATTTTGATTACATTTTTCTGTCTTTTCTACTAAAATTCATTAGCTTATATTTTTCAGCTGTAACCTACAAAAGCTTTTATATTATCTGAAAGCAAAAGAGGTATTGAAGAAAGATGCAACACAGTCATGACCTTAAAGTGGGTTTTTTTCATGTTTACACAAATATCTGTGGTGGCCTGAATGCGGGAAACTCAGATTTGCATTTTTAAGCAAATGTCTGCAGCCCACCTGTTTTGCTAAGGCAGGTAAATTACAGTAAGGAGGACTATTGACCTGAAGCTTGTTTTTGTTAAATTATACACCTTTCTGTCCACAGATGATAGCAGAATATATTAATGGCTGTGCAGACACCTCTTCTATGTGCCTTCAGCAACAAAGTTTCATTTAATAGAAATCCAAACTTGCCTAGGCATGAAGATGCACAGTGAAAGCACAAAACCATTGTCTTTCATCTGCTGTGTAATAGAACTCTGAAATAATTATTATAATTGTACCATTCTGATATTTGTGAGCCCAGACTAAACTAATTTCAGAGGCATGGTTTTAATATTCCATTTTTCCTTCTTCTACAGTAGTTCTAAGTACAAAAACGGTGTACTGTTAATATCAGGATTAAAATGTGGGTGGTTTTTTTTTTCCCTCTTCCAACTGCAGCCACCCAGGTCTTCCTAGACTTGTTTTGTAAGTTAGATTTCATGAGGGACACCTGAGATCAGCACATACTTCAGAGCACTCTCCCACTCCCTCAGGGCAGTTGAACATCTCTGCAGCTGCAATATGGTTTCTACAGAGAACACTATCAGATGAAACAGGAGGTTTCACACCCTATAGTTAGCAGAAAGTTAATTTTCAATAAATTTCCCCCATAGTGCCGTCCAGTACAAAGAAATGTTTGCAACAGTTTCAATTCTGTTCCAGACTGTTATGTTTTAATCCTATTCTTAAATAAATGCAAGGATGATAAATGTTAGCAACTATTATTTATAAGCAGGATGGACTTATTTATGGTAAACTAATTATAATGATTCTTCCTGGAAGCTAATCACAGAATGGCTGAGATGAAGTGACCTCTGGAGGTCACATTGTCCAAGTGCTGTGCTCAAGCACAGTCACCTAAAGCAGATTGTCCAGGACCACGTCCAGGTGGCTTTGGAATATCTCCAAGGATGGAGATTCTACAGCCTCCCTGGGCAACTTGTTCCCATGCTCTGCCACACTCACATTGCATAATTTAATCAAAAATGCTTGACAATTTCAGCAAAAGTAGAATCGTTCACGCATTTGGATATTTATTTCGTCAGAAGAGTCCAGTGAACGTGTCCATGTCCATGGCAGGGGGGCTGAACTGGATGATCTTTAAGATCCCTTTCAACCTGAACCATCCTACAATTCTGTGATTAACAAGCCCCAGCAAAGCCAGGCAGCAGGAAATTTGTAGTTCAGCTGAGAAAGGGCTACTGTATTTAGTGAAATTCTCTACTTTGTCTTCTAACTTGCTGAGTATTAGGAGGATAAGAAAACAAATGTAAGTGGGAGAAAATATGAATGAGTGAGGCCAAAGAATACTGACCCATACTTTTTAATCTGAAAGCATAAATGCTTTAGTAGCAAATCACAGTATTGTGATCATACTCTGCTGTAGGAGGTCCCTTTCTAAGGCAACTCAATCCATAAGAATTGTTCTAAATCAGAATGGAAGTGTTTGCAAGATCCATGCTTACAAAGTCTTTCACTATGTAAAGTACAGATAGTCACAACTTTAGCTGAAGTGGCATGAGATTTTGGTTAATAGGCTGATGAGTGGCAGACTGATAATTTCATATGTTTTCACTTTTGGAAAATTAACAAGAGTCATCCTAATGAGTAAAACACAAGGAAAAGTAAAAGTAGAAGAGTATTATGCTATTCAGAAAATGCATGTTAATTGTGTGAACCTCTCATCAGACATCTTATACACTGTTTATTCAAGTAATGACAGCATAATCTCTTGAATAGAGGTTTGACTGAGAAAGCTTAAATCCTAGCCAGCATCTTTAGCTGCCTAAACAATGCAGGAAGCATGGTCTGTTGGATATGGGGTGGAGGGTGAGGAAAGTACAAACACTAAACCTACACACATTCTTTCTTTCCCATTTCTCTTTCTTGCCAGAATGCTACACAGCCAACGGGGCTGACTACCGTGGCACTCAGAACCAGACCTCCCAGTATGCAGGGAAGCCTTGTCTTTATTGGAATGAGACCTTTGAGCATCCTTACAATACTGTGAAATATCCCAATGGGGAGGGAGGGCTTGGAGAGCACAACTACTGCAGGTAAGAAATATCCCATTGCTTTAACATTGCCTCAACACCCGGTGTTACTTTAAGCAGTTGACAGAAAATTAGGAAATGTCCTTTTACACAGTGAAGAATATCAGAACCATGAGTATCTAACACTTTTTGGTTTACCCTGTTTTTAGTACCCTGAATTTATCAGCACAATTAACAGAATAACTTTTTCAACCCAGCTCCCACACTTTTTCAGCACAGTCATGTGTCTAATTCATAAGGTGGCACAATGGAGAAATACTGTAGATTACTTAAAATGAAAAGTTGGAGATAAACAATCCAAATTAGAAGGACACAGTGCAGTGAGTGTCTGCAGGAGTCTCTGGATGGTTTTTATCCTCACACACAAGCCTGGTTCTGTTACACTTCCCAAGTTTTGTGCTAATGAAAGTTATGTAGTCCCTAAAAATTCTAATTGAGCATCAGTGATTAAGAGTGTGTATTTGAATTCAGAAGCTCATCTGTCAGGGGTTACAATACCAGATTAAACCATGGATTAAGTGCATTAAAACATGCACTTCTGTTTCCTTGCCTTCCAGAGAAACTCCTCCATAACTATGGGTAGAACTCAGAACAAAACATAAATGAGAACTTCAGAATTTAGGAGCCAAATCAGAACTTAAGTTCAGCGATGTTTAGGCGCTGTAGGCTTTTTTTCAGCTGTCTCAGTAGGCATACTAATACAGAGCTGTGAAAATACAGTGGTTACTGAATTCTCTTTGATATAATAGCAGAATCAACAATGAAATTTTGATTGTTGATATGTGGCAATATTCTAGACAGGCTGTAGCTACAGGATCTTAGTTTTGGCAGTCATCTCTGGCTAATATTTTGGTTATTACAAAGCAAAACATTTACAAGCTGAGCAAAAACATGCATGAGAAACTGGATGTTTATCCAGATACTCAAAAAACACTTACTTGAGACTTGCATAACTTGGTAAATGCTACAAGGAGCAAGAAGCCTATAATCTGATATGTAAACCTGAGAAATTACTTAATTACAAAAAAAGAGCTTTTTTTACCTGAGTCTGCTAAGTATTAGATTATCCTCATTTTCTTTCTTATGCTGTGTTACTTGGCCTAGGACTATTCTCACAGGTGTATGGAATGACAGTCCTAACTAATGGATGACTTTTAACTTCACATTCTCTTGAAAGAAAGTTTGGAAAGTCACTAGGAGTGCCAGAATATATCTATAGCAAATGTTGCTGAGGCCTGTGATACAGCTGGTTTAGCTCTTTCTCTGACATTCATCTGCTTGATGACAATGGACAAGTCGATTTTCCCTTTTCTCAGGCAGCACATACCTCACAAGGCTTTTTTAAGGCATAATACATGGCCTTGAGATTTGATTTTGGGGACAACATTTGAATAATCAAATTTTACACTTGAATATTAATCAGAAGCATGTTGCCTCTCCATGGGTGGTCCTTACTTGGAACACTTTGTTTACCAGCAAGACACCCTGTTAAGATGGAAATGCCTCACTCCAACCATAACAAAATTATGAGGACTGAAATTTTGGGAGATTTTAAAAGACAGAGAGTTGTTTTCTAACTGCCATGCACTTCTGAGGTTGAAGACAAAGATTTCTAAAGACATTCATCATGATTCTCTCCAATTTCCTCGCATTTTTAAGGCATTTCTATGCAGAGTGCCATTCTCATGATTGAATTCCTGACATACGGTTTCTGTCATGAAGATGTAACTGCAAAAATTCCTGTAACTCTGGCAACAAGGAAAAATGGGTTAGTTCAAGTACAAGCTTCACTTGGTTTTAGTCTTCTACTTTTTTTAGCTACTGGAGGCTCTTGCGTTACACCTAAATTCCTAGCATAGCTAGTCTTAGACTTTCCTGGTGCACTGCCTCTACTAATCTGTTTGAAAGCCTAACTAGCAACATTTTAGGTATCTAAACTGCACTCATCTCACCAGTTGTTTCCAGCAGTCTGCTATTTGACCAAAAAACATCCACAGAATTTCTAAAATTGGATTGCCCACAAAAGAGTTGTTAATAGGCATAAATGACAGCATGCAGCTGGACTGACACTTCAGTGGGGCTGTGTCATTTTTAGAATTCATGCCAAAGCACATGATAAAAAGATTACAACTGGTCCTAGTTAAAAGAAAAAGTCATATTTTAACCTGACTGTCCAAAATAAGAAATTATTTTCTTAAATAGATCTTTGCAATGTGAGTAGCCTTTCACAGTGTATATAGAAAAAACTTTAAATAATCTAGTGACTAATTAGGTGTGCATTTGTAAGTGGTGCTACACAATAGCAAATAATTATAAAAATAGTGATCATCATCATCATGGACATATAAGAAATTAACCATCAATATAAAGAGATCACTGGAATGGATTTAGTTCGTTTTATTGAAAGGGTAGAAAAACCTCAGTCTTTCCCAGAAGCCTTTAGCAGCTATCAGTATTTTTACCACCATACACACAGAAAGTTGGAGTCTGGACTATTTTTACCAAGGCAGAAAATCAATTTATGAGTCTGTGGAACCTGTACACAGGAGGTGGGACAGAAAATCTTCCTCTCTGTCAGTACTGACCAGAAACAGCTCTACACCTCTTAACCTTAGAGTAAAACAAAGCTACATTTTAGACATTACTAGCATCTTATGCTTGATGAATACTGTAATAATCAAACCTGTGAACTTTCTGATAATGCAAAACTTTGCATTTTTGGTAGGTACTAGAGCAAAAATAGTAATGCCATTGAAGCTTAATCAGATTGGGTTTTTGGGTGTGATTTTAGGAAAAAAAAAGATAAATTTCAATTACTGTTTCTCTCTTTCAGAAACCCTGATGGGGATGTCAGCCCATGGTGCTATATTGCAGAACATGAAGATGGAATATACTGGAAATACTGTGAGATCCCATCCTGCCGAAGTAAGAGCACCCTGCAGATTTTTTAGGGCTCCATCTCAGCTGAGCAGAGATTGGCAGTTCCACAACAGTGGGTAGTGATTTCCAAACACAAAGTAGGATAAGGCAAAACAGCTTATTTTCATTTGCAGACTAAGCTGTATTTAAAAATTTAAAGGTTTCTTAGAGTTAATGACAAGCTTACTGAATTGTTTCTCCACTGTTATCCTTTTCATGTTATCTCAGAATTACTGGATTATATTATTTACAAATAATACTGTATGACAGGGAATCACACAAAACTTGTGAAGTACTGCTAGTTCTTTGAATCCATAGATAATGATTTTATTGAAGTCTAGAGGCCAAAAAAGAGAAAGTTTTTATAAGGTCTAGATGTGTCCCTTCATTGCAAGTAGCTCATGAAATAAATTACATTATTTTAATGTGGATAGAGCATAATACACAGAATTGCTTGGAGGAACCAAAAATATGAGAGGACACAGTGAAAAGGTGTCTGTGTGCTATATGGGAACTCTGGAGTAGAATTCTGTCTCTGGCAGGTGCAGATACTTAACATTGCTGTGAAACCACAACTTGGACTTAGTTTGATTTTTTTTTAAATCAGATCACTTACAAACTACTCACATGAAGCTTCTTTCCAGAATTTAATATTTTTAATGTATTCTATTTTTTACCATGTTCCACAATGTCATGATTTGTTTATCTTCCAAAATTCTCTTTCCCAAATCACATTGTTTAAAATATACCCAAATATTAAGAAGATATTCTAGTCTTGCAGGTTACCAAGCAACCATGGCTACACATTTTAATAAGTCTAATCATTAATGACTTCACTTGCTTTCCTAACTTCTTTTGTGCAAGCACCCTCTGTTTCTGAGGCATAACTTAGGTCTTCACTGCTAAGCACCAGAGCAGGTGCCCATATGTGGACACACATTTGATTAGAAGTAATATATTTCTCACTTGAAGTTAAGAAAACAAAACCAGACAGGAAAAATGGAGCTAAAATGATTTTTTTTTCTTACTTTGCTCATAGCTTTGTTGTTTTGGGGTTTTTATGAATGGGAATGACTCACAGCTTCATGCTAGGCAAACAAATACATGAGTGTGACCTTAAGACAGAAGGCTTTTACCTAGACTTAAATACAGATTAAGGAGTCTAATTTAAATAACACAAAATCATTCAACACTCTGATATTCATTGTTCAGAGGACATTTTACTTATTTTACTAATATATAAGGTATGATTTAAGTAACTTGACCCTCCTAATTAAGAAATTTAACTTGGTCTAAAATGAAAGAATTTGCATTTTCTTTAAAGACCACAGATGTTAACAAATTATCTGGATATGGCACCAGGAAAAAAGCTGAAAGACAAATTCTCTCCACTCCATTTGTTCCACACAAAGGATCCTTTTAAAACCAGCCTTGCTCATTTTCTCTGTGGTGGGGAGCAGAGGATTTAAACTTGGACACTTACTTGCACAGATAATCCAGACTTACATTTACAAAATGTCCTTTTGACCAGTAGCAGCTGCTTCAAGCATTGCACTGAAACTCAATACTAGAAAAAGGAATTGCAGCAATTTAGAGCAAACTGTACATTGCAAGCCCATCCAAATCTTAATACAAACCTCATGGTTTATGAAGCTGTGTAAAAAAATCTTTTTTTCTTCACAAGACTTTCTGTTTCCAGTAAGCATGATGCTAAGTCATAGGACCATCAAAACTATCTTGTGAAGTGTACAAATGAAATGCAAAGTCAGTTTTTGAATGCAAAACTTGACTTTTTTGATGGAGCAAGAAAGAAATTGTTTTTAAAAAACCTATTTGAAACTTTCTAGAGAAAAATTTCTTATATAATCTTTTTTTCCTTAATGATATTTACTACTAAAAAATTATCTGGAACATAAGTTACCTATTAACTGTGCCCACATAATACCATGGCAGTGCCAACAACATGAAGCATCTTGATTGCCTAGAGAGATTTGCATGCAATGATTCATCTGAACAATAATTAAGAATCTACAGTTAAGAATTTTTCATTATGGTGATGAATTCACATGATTATCTCACATGTCTCATTCCCTAATATTTACACATAACACTACATGCTTCAGTCAGAAATGTGTTCTGACAATCTGCATGGGTAATGTACAGAATTTAGCAGTGTTGGATGAAGATGGGTGAGCACAATCACAGTGGTGGTTACTCCAGGAGGAACTTTGTCTTCCCTTTTCTTCCTCTCTCTTTTTTCATGTCTGCTAAGCAGACTGGGATGGACAGAAACAAAATAAAAGGCAAGGCTGCAGCTCTGAGTGCTGAGAGAACATGTGCATCTCACATGGAACATTGAGAACTGAATGCTTCAGATGGTTTGTTTGCAGTGCTGCAGCTATTCCTGACTTTTTTGGTCTCCTTGTTAATGAGGTTAGGTTTAGGTTCAAAGGAAATAACAACTTACACTTCCAAAATGTGAAAGAAAGAAAGAAAGTCTTGCTATACCACTTAACTACATCTTTATGTTTATGACTCACATGACTCTCTCCTCATAAACAGATTTCATTACTGAGATCATATTTCCAGTGTGCATGTATGTAATGTAATAAATTTGACTGAAATATGGAGGAGGTGTTAAATGGCAGGGCCAGGTAAGTGACACAGATCTGTTTGGAACACAGGAACAAGGACAGCTCAAACACTTTGTGCATGTGCAAAAAAAAAAGAGCTGGGAGGCTCTTCAAAGACAGCTACATGAGCATAGCTGGAACATGGTTTTGAGCTCAAAAGGATTAATCCCATATTTTAATACATTGAATATGTGCCTCAACATGTAAAATGCAGAAACTGTGGTGTTTGCCAAGACCTCATTAAGTCAAATGCTGCTTAAAAGAAAAATAATATGCTTGTGCAAAAGAGGTGACCTTTTAAGCAGAAGAGGACAAATAGATACAAATGGGTGAAGACAGTGTAATAGTGAAACATCACTGGTGAGCATGAACAGTAATTGCAGAACACTGACTACCTCACTTTTTTTGCCAAGTTTCTTCAGCAGGCTAACTATTAAGAGCAAAGAATGTTAAAATACTGCTGGGACACCAGAGACTTATTAGCCTTAGGATGTACACTTCATTTAGTTAAAAAATTTAAGAAGCTTTCAAATTACTCAGGTTTCTTAGCATACTGAAGTACTAATCCTCTGGAGCCAAGGTTGAAAGGTCTCACTAATAAAGCTACTTTAAAAAAGAAAAAAAAATTCAACTCCCAGGTCTCTTAGGAAATGAGCTAGGTTGGATAACTAGGAAGCTTTTTCAGGGCTGTGAAATCATGCACAATACAAAAAAGAATGAGCTCTCTCATGAGTTATCTGCCCAGCTGTACTCAGCTGGGGTGGGGCTGCAAGTGGGGATTTCCAAAGGTATGTTAAATCAGGCTGTAACTTGAAGTCTCAGTACTTATATGAATGTTGCTGCAGGGCATATCAAAGCCATAACTCCATGCAAGTATTTATAATTGAAATTGTATTCTTAGAGAACAAAATTAATTTCTGAACAGTATTTCAAGCAATGTTATGTCATTATTTATAATAAGTTTACTGGGTACTCTAATAGCCAATGACTGCATAAATAAAACACTCATACAGGTCTCTGAGCACATCATGTCAAACAGAGCTGTGGCAGTTAGGTGGACAAAAAGAATCCATGTCCATCTGGCACAAGAATAAAACTTAACATGGAGCTAGTAACAGATTTAATTTCAAGCATGTGAATAGATATGACAAGTGGGCATGCGATAATTTTCTGCCATTATCCCAGCACTGTATTGTACTCCACATCCTCTCCCTGGGGTGGTCATGGCTAAATTCCAGTGCTTTGATGAAAAGTGCAAAACCAAAAAAAAAAAAACAGAGCACTGAAGGGAGAAAACTCTGATCTCCCATAGTGACCAAGGAGCCTTGAAACAACATATTAATGTAAATAGATGGGTTGTTTTCTTAAAGTAATATTGCTCATTTTTAATCTCTTTGTATGATGCTTCAGATTCATATCAGAACTCAAGTTTTAAATATTAGGAAATGCCCCTATATTAGTCCCTCCCATAAAATTTGCCAAACTCCATTCTAAAACTGTTTATGTTCCCTTCCTCAAATATTCTGTTTTGAAAACTTCCAGAATGTCATGTTTGGAAGGTCAGACAGAAATCAAAGAGTTTAATTTACATTTTCAGAATATGCATGCCAGTAGTAAAAAAAAAAAAAAAAAAACAAACACCCAAAAAACAAACCACACAACCCCCCTGAACCCACTTAATGCCTTGGGTTTTTTAAATTGCCTCTTTCAGGAGAAATGAACAAAGTATTTATCTTGTATATTTTACTGCAGCTTACTGAAACTAGCTAGACAGTCTTACAGGTATATTGCTGAGATGATATGATACTCTTTTTGTCCCATCACTCATCCCTGGGTGTGTTTGGAAAATATGACAAGAATCATGCAGAGCATGAGTAATAAAGAGCAATAAAGAGTTCCCATAGGGCAACACTGAGCCCAGAACATAGAGAGAGCTGCTCAGTGACCAGGTAGTGCATGAAGGTGTCTGGGATGTTTGCAGGCACTCTAGAACGACTGTTTTGTGTCACTCTTGCCAGTGCCAGGGAATCTGGGCTGTTACAAGGACCATGGGGAGCCACCACCCCTGACTGGCACCAGCGAGACCTCCAACAAGCTCACCATCCAGACGTGCATCAGCTCCTGCCGCAGCCAGCAGTTCAAGGTGATTTCCTTCACACCCATTTACAAAGCTTTCAAAGACAAAAATGGCAACGTGCCTAGAGGTCTCTGTTGTATTTCTCCTCTTCCCCAATTTTTTTTAACCTTTAGGAGGTCTTCCCAAAGGTGGAAGGTTGCACTTCCACCCTGCTGATCAAGCCCTCGCTCTGCATCCAGAGGCATCTGAACAAATGGCCAACGAATAACACCAGGGGAAAATAGGGTTGCTTACTGCCATTATGTCAGGGTGCTCTCCATTCCATCTTTCCCCCAGTCTTAAGTAGCATCCTGACAGCCCAAACAAAAACAGCCTGTGGTGGTTCCTCTGAGTAATCATACTTCTCCAAAACACACATTTTCTGCTGCCAGCTTTCTTGCTCAAACAACCTCCCGCTGTCACTCCTTCAAATGCTATTCCTCCCTTCCTTATGCATCTTTGTTGTCAAAGTTTGCAGGCATGGAATCAGGTTATGCTTGCTTCTGTGGAAATAATCCTGACTACTGGAGATACGGGGAGGCAGCCAGCACGGAATGCAACAGTGTTTGCTTTGGAGACCACACTCAGCCCTGCGGTGGGGATGGCAGAGTCATTCTCTTTGACAGTAAGTATTGAAGCAGGCTCAGCTTTTCCCAAAGGAGAGGCCTCACATGTTCAGCAAATTAGGGAAAAGGCTCAAAACAAAGAGAACTGTTGCACAGCAAACAGCAAAACACCTCCATTCGGTATAAATTAAAGCTGCTTTCCATTTCTGCCTAAAATTCTCATCCATCAATAATGTGAAATAGCTATGCCAAGAAATTATGCTTACTCATGCTCCAGAGGTTCTTTCACTTTCCTCACAAGTGGTACCAAGTCAGCTGTCACAAACTCCCTAAGCATTGATCTTAACAGAGAGTAAATTTTGGAAGCGCATGTATGGATATGCACTGTCAGTTGGTGGCATTTGAGTTCTCTCTGGATTCACTGGAGTTTAAGTTTTCAATTTCCTACAGCTGTGAAGGAATGTCAGTCATTAAGCAGTGAGAGTTAATAGTCACTAATCCACTTTCCTGCCTGCCTGGTTTAGAGTAGAAGCCCCTGAATCAGTGATTTATCTTTCATCCCATTTCTGCAGGGATGCAGGAGAGGGTTCCTGGTCACACACAAGGACAAAGGAAAGTTGCAGTGTTCAAGACTGATGCATAGGTCAGAGTAATGAGGCATAAGTATTTCAAGAAAAGGCAACAAAAGCTGTGCTGAGGGAGGACAAGAGCAGCTGCAGAGAATGCATCCTGCTGGCCTAGCCAGCCTGTACCTTCAAGTCACATTTAAGTATTAGAATCTGCAGGGTGCTAAAGCTTTGCAAAATTAATGTAGTTCTTTTTTTCTTTCTTTCTTCCCATTTCCCCCCCTTTTCTCTTCTTTTCACAGCCCTTATTGGTGCCTGTGGAGGGAATTACACTTCTGCTACAGCTGTGATCTATTCCCCAGATTTCCCTGACACATATGGCACAGGCAAAGTCTGTTATTGGACCATACAAGTTCCAGGAGCATCCCAAATCCACTTCACCTTTGTCCTTTTTGAAATCAAAGATGCTACAGATATGGTGGAATTGCTGGATGGTTACACCTACCACGTTCTGGCTCGTTTCAATGGCAAGAACAAGCCTCCCCACACCTTTAACATCTCTTTGGATTTTGTCATTCTGTACTTTTTCTCAGATGACATCAATCAAGCCCAGGGATTTGCTATCAGGTATAGAGGTAAGAGGCCACCTTTGCTGTTTCTACCTTTCAGTGAAGCATTTAATTCCCACAGGAGATTTCTGAAGTGGAAATTAAAGAACAAATATTTCAGCTCTTATCTAACAGGTGTTTCATCTCTCTTGTTGCCATTACTCACTGGGTAAAAATTTCACCAAAATTTCTCTCCGTTCAGAGCATTCCAGTCAGCTACATCATAAATAGAAAAATACAGGTTTTCAAAACCTGCACTTTTCTATTTAATAATTTAAAAATTCAATTCTATACCTTCCTGTTAAAACAGATTGAAAAATGACACAGGAAAACAAAACAAGCAATAATCCATCTGCACATTGGTTTATCTTGGCTCCTCCCAACAGTTTCTCCCTCTCTATCACAAGAAAATGTCCTTGAGTTGTACCTGCTGTTATGATGAACAGCCAGCTTCCAGAAAAATTCTGAGAACCCCAGCCTGATGAAGTACAGGCTTTTTTAGGAATCAGATATGATTTGATTATTTGAGTTCTCTTATGTAAACCAGAGAGCAGCATGTCTGTTTATAAGCACAAAATCAAGTCCAATTACACCTGTTAAGAGATTGTTTATTATTGTAATCATACTGCTGTGTTTTCAGCTGTGAAGGACAATGTGCACCAAAACAAGATCCCAGTGAATCACACCCTTCCAGAGAGGACAAATGAACAAGCAAATCTCAGCATCAATGCAGCCCGGTCATCAAAGATACTCTATGTCATCACAACCAGCCCAAGCCATCCAACCAGCTCCATGCCTGGTAATGACACCAAAAAATGTGGAAATGGGAAAAAACATTTTGCCCAAGTAAAATCTGGAGTCACTATTCCTCTGCTGCCTCCTCCACATTAGCAGATCCACTGTGCATCTTACTAAAAAATGAATTTTCATTCAGTTTAATTAGCACTAACTGGGATTCTCTCATTACATTTCAAAACACTTCTCAGCCAAGTCAGAAATAGTGTGAAGATGATGAGTTCTTGAGAATGAAAGCATCTCAACATACATGAGTCAGAGCATCTTCCTTACTGCAATCAGCTTTAGTGACCTGCATGCCACAGAAGGGCACAAATTGCTGAGAAAAGAGCAAACTTTACTTGTAGAGTCTAGAATAGCTTGAATGCTGTTTGCATCCCTGTTACCCCAATTAACAAAAGTCTCAGCAATAACACAAAGTGGACTAGACAAGTTAATGGGTGTAGGGGAGGGCTCACTGAGAAATGTCATGTGTTTAGAACTCAGCTTCAGGACATCCCTGAATTCAGGAAATTACTGAGCTGTGAATAATTGAAGGCTGGAAATGCACTCTTGGTGAATATCACTATTATTCTGTTGTTAAACCACTCTTTTATGTATCATTGGAGCGGGGCCTCAATCCCACAGTCCTGGAGCTGCATCCCACACCTGGAACAGGAGCTGCACACCCAACCCTGCCAAGGTGCAGAACCTGCCCAGGAATAGTCTGGGACCAGCTCCAGCCTAATGCTGCCTTACCACAGCTACACCTAAACTGCCTTAGTGTTAAACTGCTCAGGAACACCACAGAAACTGCACCCTTGGGTTTTATACAGTTCCAAAAATACTGATCAAATCATCATGTACAGGCAGTGCTTTGAGGAAGGGGCAGTGGGTGGAAGGGAACTTCTGCTTCCTTTCCTAGATAATTTTACTAGCATATGCTTTGAATTTTGCCAGCTTTCAATTTTATTGGGAGGAGTTCTGCAAGGGAAAATAGCAGTTCTGACTGAAAGTTGTACGGTTTGTGCCAGTCTGCAGAAAATACTTGCAGGTTTAAGGCATTGTCAAATTCCAGAATTGAATAAAGGATCACAAAGCTGTTTGTTCCTTTCATGCAATATTCTTACTGTAAAAACTGTAAATAAATTAATGTACTGAGAGCTCCCCCTGTTCTCTTTTGCAGAATGGACAATATACAGCCTCACAGCACTGCTCATCCTAAGTGCTACAGCCATAATAGCAAAGATACTTCTGCATGTTACCATGAGGTGAGTGTGCAGCAAAACCAACCTAAGAGAACCAAGATCTCAGCTCTGAACCAAACCTGGGGCTCCCCTCTGCCTTCCAATTATCAGATTTGCCATATTCCAAACCAAGTTAGTTATTACATATTTGAATTCTCATAGAAGATCTTAAATAAGGACATTTTTTAACTTTCCAGTCTGTTAGGATAGCATTTGCTACTAGACTGTCTCTTCTGCTATTGATTTGACAAGATTTGTACTTTAGGGGGAAGGAGGAAAATGTTACCAGACATCCAGGTTTGGTGAGAAGAGGTCAAATTATGATAATACTTTGCAGGGAAAAAACTAAAACCTCTACACTCCTACCAAGTAAATTTTGGGTCCTCTAGATGGACACTCACTGAAATAAACGATGGTGAATTACCAACAAACCAAAATGTTGAATATTGTATTTACAAAGTACAAACATGTTTAAATATACAAGGAAAGTATATTAATAGCAACTACAATAATAACAACAACTCCAGTCTGTAGAGCCCTCTTAGCTTAATGTCAGTGCTGTCATAGGGTGGCAGAAGGATACCTAACTTTTCATTTAATCAAGCCAACCAAGAAACACTCCAAAAACCTGCATTTTGCACAGCAGGTAGAAAGAAGTGTCACAGATGCAGAGGAGGCTGTGAGCAGTCCCAGTGCAGACACATTGATAACCACACCTACCCAAGCACACGAACACAAGAGTGAATTCACTCTTGTTTCCTAGGTCCCACCAGATTCCAGCTGCAGCTGAAACAGAGGATTGCAGTGATGTCACTACTGCTGGTGAGATCTGGAGTATATTTTACCAACCATCCACATCAATTTCCATCTTCAAGAAAAAGCTTCGAAATCAGCAAGATGATTGCAACCCACTGGTGGGAGACTGAGCTTTTATCTTGCAAGAATTGATCTCCTTCAAATCCAGGTGACTTGAGATTAATCTTCCTTTTCTTCCTCCCAACCTCATACCTGTTTTCCAAAAAGTCCATTTCCAAAGGCCTTTGAGTGACTTTGCCTCTCTGCTGTTCTCTTGGATCTAGCAGTGACAATGGATTTAATTGCAGCAATAATTCTGAAATACCTGGTGCTCCTCAAGTCTGTAGTGCTGTTAATTACTGCCTTTAAAACATTGCACTTAAAATAGATGTAAAAACTTGTAAAATTCAACATGTCCTGTACCCCTGCCCAAGGTAACTGAAGGGGTTTTTACAGGTTGAGGATTTCTTGTGTCCCCCTTGCCTGTGCCACTGTATTAGATCAGGCTACTTTAGTCCTTTTATTCTCAAGCTGAAGACAGAGGTGGGTACTGCTAACCTGTTCAGCAAACAGAGCTTATTTACCTTGATGTAAACAATCTCAATGGTATTGTACAGGAGAATGGGAATCAAAGACTGGAAAAATGATCAGCCTGGTTGCTCAGTGCTGCGCTCTTTCTGCATGTTCTGTGCTACAATGAGAGATGCAAACATAAAAAATCAAATTCAGGATGCCTCTATAACAAGATTCAGCTACAAATATGCATTTTGGTTGACTAGAGCTCACCAGGTCAGGGCCTGCAGGAGCATTGAAGCCTTTTAAATGACTCTGTCTGACCCATCATTTGCTGATGTTTATGATCGTTTTGTTCATATTCACAGTGATCCTTTAAAAAACTAATTATACTCCAGCCTGAAAGCCAGCATTGATCCTGGGTATAAGCTTAGGGCTTCTTAAAGGATTGTCCAAAGATAATCCACTGAATTTTTATCAGTGAGGCTGACTAACCAATTTTTGCTCTGAAGTCACATGCATTGATCTCAGCAGCCCAAACATTTTACAAAGTTGTTGGCTGCTATCACCAACTCCCCTGGGCCAGGCTGTGCAGCTGAGCATGCACAAAACAGCTGCCTGGACACTCACCTGGGAGGAGAAGTGTCTCCTTGCCTGCAGCACTAAAACTGAGCTGAATTTTTAAGGTAATTGCCTTACTTGTCAAAGAACTGAAACATCAGTGGGGTTCTGATCTGTGAACTATTTTCTTTGATTGCAACAGACAGCATTAACTATTTCTGCTCTTTGGTGGACTGGCTGTCCATCCACAATACTCAGATTTCTCATCCCACCACCACAAGTGGGAAACAAGTGATTCCAAGGGATCAGCAGTGAATCTTTCAGCCTCAGCAAGTTCAGACCAGCAAGATATTCAGGAAAAACTGTCAGTGCAAATGTCAGATAAATTGACTGGAAAAGTTTACAGTGGGCAGCTCCTTAAACTCAGTTAGAGAAAGTTCACTAAGAACCATTAAACTACACTAATTCTAGTTAAATTTGAACACTAATTCTGGTTAAGTCTGAACATGTACCAATGGTCTGCATACACCAGATGTACAGTCAGAGAACATCTATTAAGTACATCTACAAAAGATAATTAAGAAAAGTAAGAAAATTGGCACTGAGTTTAAATTCATTCCAGTATCTGCCCTTATGATTTTTAACATATAACTCCCTCCTTTTTGTGAGAACTACAGATTTCACTGAAAAATCAGAGCATCAATTAAGCAGTGAAATATTGTGCCTTACCACTGTAGATCTGGTCTTTTACCTGAACTGAATTCAATCCAGCTTGATTTATGCAGCACAGATGAGAGCTAGAGACAGCTGAACAACATCACAATGCATGCTTAAAAGAAGCCAGACTTTACTAAGCCAGCAATTATGGAATTGTTTATATAAAAAATGGAACAGCATGGGAACATCTAGTACTTTCTTGCATGAGCTGCTGGAAAGAATACAGGAAAATATAATTACAGTATTAGCTAAATGAAGACAGGACAAGTTGTAAAAGCGATGCTGGTTCTCTCTTACGTGTCACCATGTTGGACCAAAAACCATTGTCTGTTTCAGACCCAACACAAGTTCTCAAATTGCCTTTTTAAAGGTAAGGTTTTGCATCATGCTGTGTGGAAAAAGAGTTCACCTCAGAGATTCAGAGCAAAACAAAGCAGGTTGGTTCCTAAGCATCCTTAATTTGGTGTACAAACAGGAAACCAGGCAGAGAGAATCAGTGTGCTGCCAGATCCTCAGGAGCTGCTGCAAGCACATAGTGCTTATCACAAAGTGATGAAGCTTTGCTTGCCTTATCAAAGGCAAGTTAAACATTTTGTCAGAGAGACTTTGATAAAGCAGTTAACTAATGGTGATAAACTGAAAAAACATCAGAACACCCAGTGACTGATGTACACCTACTGCAGAAAGAAAAAATACAGAATGCTACACTTCTCTTCATTAGTGAAGAATTTAATTTCACTATAATATTAGAGAAAATATTACAAACAGCAACAAAGACTGACACTACTAATGCAAAATCTACAGAATTTAAAAAATGAGATATTTGCATTGCTCCCTTAGCTCCTCAAATATTTTTTAAATCAAATTGCATTTCATGGGACTTTCATGGGGAGCATTCATCAAATTTATGTACTAAGTCCCATAAAACCAGCACTTACAGCAGATTAACTGGTCATGGCAACAATAAACAGGACTAGTATTAGACAGTGCATGGATAATTCACTGATAAAAGCATAGAAGAAATTATGTTTTCCCCCGACAGAATTTTTCAGATTGGCTGATTCTAGATCTTGCTAGTGCTAGGAAACAGAGCAATGGATGGAAATTCATGGACAGGGTCCCTTAAATAGCACTTATTACTTTCCAGGGCTGAGAGCATGAAGAGCAGGTAGATCCCCAGTGTGGATTTTTCCCAAATGTGTAGGGCCACTCACACTGCTAGTGGAGCCACTTCAGGGTGTGGTATCCATTAACACAGCATGTTCTGATCTTTGCTGTAAGGGTTTGGGGGAGAAAGAAGCAAAAGGTGTGACCATGCACAAGTGTTGTAATCCAACAAAAGAAATGCCCCTACTGCACAGGCAGCTGAGAGCTGACACCTCAGCAGGTCCTGAGAATAACTGAGAAGAAGAGAATATTGAGAGAGTTATTGAGAATAACTGCAGAAGAATTTGTTTGGAACTCCTGCCTAGCAGTCCCCTCAGGAGGCTGGACAGGCTGCAAAGGTGACACTGGTACAATGTCAAAAGCAATGCCAAAATCCTAATGAGGAGCTGCCTCCTCCTTCCCAGGGATTTCAGCTCCTGCCCTGGCCCACTGCTCACTCTCGTGTTGGTGTGACCAGCTGTGTAGTGGTGCAATAAACTGATCAGGGCAAAAACTGCCATGGCTTTTTCTTCCCTGAGTTCCTTTTCACAGAGCTGAGCTCTCTGCCCTTGCCCCTGGCTGGTGGCACAGGGAGATGAGCTCAGAGCTCCCTGAGTGCACACTGGGCAGGCAGTGAGCCATGGGGCAGGGGCAGATGTGTGCCCCAGGGACAATGAGCACTTCTGCTGGAGCTCCACAGCCATGGGTGAACCTGCTGCCTTCACCCAGCTCCAGCGCCCTCCCCTGTGTGTGCCCCTCACGTGGAAAGGGGCCAGCTGACAAGTGCCTTCTCCTTCAAAATCTACATTTAAAACTAGTTTAGTTTGTTGACTACATGATTTTATATGTATTTTTATCTTAATATTGTTATGTTGTGGGAAAATAGAGACTTTGTTATGTAAAAATGTGTGATGTGTTATCATAGTAATATATATATTTGTATATGTATAGGAAATGCATTATTTAATACAGCATATTATGCTTCTATCTTGCTAACATTTTATAGGAAGAAAAGATGTTAGTTTACACTCTGGGAAAAATAAATTTTCTATACACTGTAACCATAGGGAAAAAAATCAAAGCTACTTCTTTGGTGTATATGATAGAAAGACATTGAGAATAAGGGAACTCAGCCTCAGTTTTGTGACAGAATAGATGCTGATAAAACAATTGCTGTAAGAAACATTTTCCTCCTTTGAATCTCACTTCTAGCCTGTAATTGTATTAGGCTGTTCATAAGATTCTGCAAATTCATGTGCATACACTCTCTGGATGATTTGTACCATCAAACATGTAATCTGCTTTTGCAATCAAGCATTAACATAATCTTCTTTAGGACTTGATTCTGCCAGATTTTCTACAGCCAGGACAATGCTGAGGAAGTTTATCACATTGCTCATGCAGAAATCCAGTGGGATTGCAGAATTAGTCTGTGTATTCCAATCCCCCAGCAATAACATAAATAGGATATTTTTATGGCTAGTCCTGGAAACTGCACTGAGTCTGCAGCCTGGATCACTACAGGTCAAACACACCAGCAGACACATGGCTGCCACTGAATGAGCATAAATAGCAATTCCACTTTCATCTTCTGCTTAATAAGCCCTCTCAGGCAGTGGGAAGGAACAGAGTTTTCTAGTGCACCACTTTGCCTAAAGGAAGGGTGAATACAAAAACAACTCCTGACAAAAACTCGTCCAACTGGTTCTTACTGCCCTGCAGCAGTACTTCACAATCTTCCAATGAAATACAGTTCACTGATAGTTTCACCTGAATATTGTTCTGGACATTAATGAACAATTCTGCTACCTTAAGAGTGAAAAATACAATTGCCTTCAGACCATACAATTTTTTTTAACAAGACATCCCCACTGGACACAAATTTCACGCCACTCAGACTTTCCCAGATTTACTGAGCACCTGTGCTTTGGGATGAAATCTGGCATAATGAACTTCAGACTAAAGACATTTTGCTCCAAATCCAAAAGCTATCACATGAACCACATAAGGCTGTCAAGAAACCAGAATAAATCAAATTTGAGGTGACTTGCTGCTGAAGTATGCACTGTGTTTGTAACTGTTCACCCTGCATTCAGCAAATGGTTGTAAATAATAATTATGAAAAAATAAATACAGTGTATTTGTGCAGGAGGAGTTCAGTTAGGATGACTAAAGTGTATACAAGCATGAAATAAAGGAGGCAGAAACTGCTGCAGTTCACCAGCAGATTACAAGAGCACTGCCTGCTGTACATGTTAGAAGAGAGTAATTAGAGCTGAGAATGATTACTTTACATATGAAGTATGATACTGCTCTGAGACACAATCTCTGAGGTAACAGCAAATTGAAAGTATTCAGTTTATGTGTTTTCAAACTCTTAAAAACTGTATAAATTCGTTCAGGGTTTGCTTTGCAATTGCAGCACTGTGTAATGCTGTTTCCATTTTATTGTAAGATTCATCTTTTCTCTAATTAATTCCTCCTGGCCAAAATAATGCTACATTTTAAGAAACCTTCAGCAACCTTTTATGTAAACAAGTGACAAATACCAAAACTGTCTCCTTTTCATGAAAACTCACTTTTCTTTTAGAAACACAATTGTCACAGGGGACTGATCTCCCCTTACACAGGGGAGGTTACTCTGCTCTCCTTTCTTGCCATTCTGGTTATGAGACTCTGGCACTTTGGTTCTTTCTGGGAACTGTTCCCTTCTGTTTTCTTGCTTGTTTCCTAAGCAGCAGTTTCATTCCCCACGAGGGAAATGTGTTGTTTATTCTGAAAGAGACGCTTTTCTATGAAGCATTTAAGTCACAGGAGCAGGGTGCTTTCACTGCAAGGTAAAATATCTGGTTTCAGGTCTGCCATTGTCTCCCTGGCCAGAGAATTAGGCCAGGCTGGCTCCACAGGGTATGGACATGGCCACCCTTTTAATGGCATTTTTCTCTTCACTCTACCCAAGCAACAACAAACGTCACCTAACAGCTGCCATAGAATTTGACAGATGCACACGATATTGCAGATAGTGTTACAGAAACACCAAGTGTTACAGTAATGTACAATCCACTAAGAATAATCTGCTTCTACTTGTCTTTTTCTACTGTATCAAGGTTCTGTGGAGGCTTGTGGTGCCACCTTTTGTCACAAATTTGTTCCTTAAGCATCAAACCTGAAAAGTAAAAAGAACCTTCCCCCTTGCCAAGTATCCAAATGTTCATTGTGAACGACAATATTTACATTTAGTCATTTTTAAAAAACCACAACAAAGACTAGACAGAATTTCACACAGAGCTAGCACCACACATAAGCTCAGCCCTGCTATGTTTCATGCAGACAGAACATGGGCTCACTGGTTATTCTGTGGGACAGCCACAATACAGAGTGCCACCACACAATTCCAGAAGGCTTTCAGCATTTACCCATACAGAGTAAACACCTTACCTCATCAGAAGGCTTCAGGCATCTGCCCATACAGAATAAAATCCTGGAACTACAGAAGGCTTCAGGCATCTACCCATGCAGAGTAACATCCTGTCCTTTCAGAAGTCTGCAGGCATCTGCCCTTCTGGTTCTTTAGCCCAACCTTTTATCCCTTCCTGTTAATGCCCTGCACCTGTGTGCCCCTCATTGTTCATGCATTGCACCTGTGTGCCCCTCGTGTTAATGCCCTGCACCTGTGTGCCCCTCATTGTTCATGTATTGCACCTGTGTGCCCCTCCTGTTAATGCCCTGCACCTGTGTGCCCCTCATGGTTCATGCATTGCACCTGTGTGCTCTTTATGTTGATGCATGGCACCTGTGTGCCCCTCATGCTGATGCAGTGCCCCTGTGTGCCCTCTGTTCCCTTGGTGGTTGCTCAGTGCCCCTGGGCGCTCCATGGCTCATGGTTTCAATGCTGCTCACCTGCTGCTCACAGCTGTGCCCATTGGGGATGGGGCTCAGCCACAGCCCCGCTCCCAATGACCCCAAACTGTGTCCCTACAGGACACTGAGGGTGGTGGCATGTCCTGCTCCTAAAAGCACAATCACCTGGCAGTTTTCTTCAGAGCAGGGAACAAGAAAACAGAACACCAGCAGTAGGAGTCAGGAGGGTGGAGGGAGGGAAGGGAGATTCAGATGTGACCTGTCAACATATGAGTTATCAGCCACCCACACAGGGGGCTTTATGCTATTTGTAAAATCAAATGTTTTGTGAACTAATTTGAACTAAAGGCATATCTGTAATCACTGCAATTGCCCAGACTCTGCTCACTGAGCAAAAAAAGGGGCACATACTTTAATTGGGAAGCATCTGCTCCTGTTGCTCTTCCATTGCTGTGCCCGTCTCCCACACAGAGCAGGGTTTTCTGTCCTACCTGAGATCAGGATGGGAACTGTCCTCGTGCTGTGAAGGGTCCCCTACAAAACAATACTCTTGAGCAGTCTGTCATTCCAAATGGGGTTATCACACATGAAACAAGGGCTGGATAGCAGTAAAGCTCATTTCTTGGCTGAATGCTGAGGTGAATGAGTTATAGTGCATTTGAACATGGATGAGAGATGGGGAAAGTCCAGGGGAGCGCCAGGTGGAAATCTCTAGGAGATGGAATAAGCTGGAGAATCCTGGAAAAGGCTCTGTGAGTGTCTCACTGGATGGGAAATGAATAGCACATGCAGGTGAACTGTTGACACAGTAACACATAAACACACATGTATATACACACATAGAGCCACACAGCCCAGGCTCCCCTCTTCTGGAGTCTGCACAAACATCTCTGATGAAATTGTGCTCTCTGCTGACAAAACAAGCACCACAATATTCATTTTCACTAAAACAGGACCAGTGATTCCGTGATGCAGGGCAAGGACCTGGATCTTGACTATTCAAGCTATGATTTACCCAGCTGTGCCCACCTGTATCATGCTCTTTCAAAACAATTTTATTTCAGGGCAATAAATTACAATAAATTACTTTTATCTGAAATTACAACAGAGTTCGGTTCCCCTGCAATGAGGAACAGGCAGGATCCAAACACAAATGAGGATTTCTTTTAGCAGATGTGGAACTCCCCTGTGCCTGGGGGGCTCAGGGGCTTGTGTGACCCCTACCCCACACTGCCCCCCAGTAACTGGATGCTGTGTAAAGGCATATAAATATCCACCTATCTATTGTTTAAAAAAATAATAGGGAAAAATGTTGTTTATTAGAGTTCATCCCAGTATATGTAGGACTGTACTTTGAGAACAGTTATCTATGTCCTTTCCCCCAAAACAAGAAGGACAACTCCCACATGTATATGCAATAAAACTGTATTTTTTGTGTGGTTTTGCCTTTTTTTTTCTTTTAATACAGACATTTGTACACTTTCTTACAAAACTGCAAGTAACTACACTTCTCTTAAAATCATTTTTGGTCGGCAAGTACTGTAAAATCTTTGTGTGCAATTATCATGTATTTACAGGGCCTCGTGTTAGTGATTTTCAGTGATTATTACAATAATGTCACACACTCTCAACATAAGACATGGCTTAAGATAAATATATTAGTAAATAAATATTCTGAGAACATATTTCCATACATGAAATGTGCTGCTATACATATACAGAATATATACAAGATGCTTTCTAGCTTTTAAAACATTTTTAAAAATGGTAATGAAGGAGAAAGAGCCCTTTGACCATATTACAAATCTTTACAGCAAATTTTATACAAAACAATTTTAAGTGCTATAAGACAATTTTAATTAAAAACATTTTAAATAGTGCCTCATGAGCCAAACACAACGACAACTGTTCATGTAAGTAGTAGAAAGGCATTTTGTTATAAAAACCATCTATCATGGCCAGCTAGCCTGTGAGTCTGCACTGGACAGTTTTATGTTAAATGGCAGAGCCAGCACAGAAGGCAGGTGTAGGTGTCTGTGTGTGGCCTGCAGAGATTTGTACCAGCAGAGATTTCCACAATGTGTGGGACCAGCACATCTGGGATCACCAGGAGCCAGAACATTCAAATCTTTGTAAGAAACACTTTTACCACAATATGCTGTTTTAGTTACAGAGTACAATGTATCCTAGGTGGCCTTTACAGCGCCTCACAGAACACCAAGCGGAATAACCAAGCTAGTGTACCATAGCTTCTAAAATGCATTTCTTTTTTAGTGGAGGAAGGAGAGGGTAAGACTTAAAAATTAAAAACAAAAAAATTTCCAAAAATGACAAACCCTTAGAGTTTGTTCTCCCAACACATACCACTTACTTCAGTCATTCAGAGAATGAATAAGTTTTTAATAAGCTTTATACACAGAAAATGTGTTTATTGAAATTTTTCTTTTAATCTTATACCCAGATATTGCCTTGTATTAATTCTCTGAACAGCTGAATTTTGGTGCTTGTTGACTGAAAAGATGAAATGTGAATTCCTTTAGGTAGAACTTTTTTCCTAATTACTGGGTATGAAAGCAAAAGGAAATAGATGAATGTATTTGTTATTTCTTAGATATCTGTTTCCTTCTTTTAAAATAGTTCATTTGGGACTACAGAGAATTACAAATTAGCTTTGCTGGTCTCACAACCAGCCCAGTGCTGTCAAGGACATTGCTTTGGCAGAATATGAAGTGTACATCTCTATTTCTTGTCTTTGAGTATCTCCAAAGTGTAATGAACTTGGGACAAATCTTTTCAGAAGACTGGCACTGTGGGCATTAAATACTTAGTTTCCCTTTAGAAGAATTCCTGCTGTGAATACACCACAGGATGACACTGTGTCCTCAGGCACATGCAGCATGACAGGCAATTTCACCCATGCTATGGTAGCCTCTTACTCAGAAGCTGCTGTTTCCACAGGAAACAATTGCTATCAGAAGTGACGACATGAATTATCTCATGATAACAAACATCCCCACTAGGACAAGAACAAGAACAAAAGGATGTGCCCAGGATAATGGGGTACAGAGAGCACTCTGTACACAAGACAGAAATGAAGCACAACCGGCTGGGCCCAAGAAACCTTTAAAACAGATCAATCTATGGAAGCTACATCAACCACAGCAAAGAAGAAAACAATGATCAAACCAAGTCCCTCACTTTGCCACACACACAGAAGGTGACAAGCACTGCTTCCCTTAGGCATGCTTGCAGCCTGGAAGGAAACAAGAAACCCTGTTTCCAAAATGAGCCAGCAAAGCTGTGAGCACACTGCAAGCTCTGCTTTCCTGCACATGCCAGCATTCCTCACAGCTGGAACAGGGGCTACAGGTGCCTGAAAAACTTCCTATGGAAGGAAAAGTTCATTACCTACAAAGGTAATACCCTTTCTAAGCACTTTGTTCGAGCATCTGCTTGAGGGAGAGGTCCCCAGCATTCTTCACTGGTCAGAAGATACAATGAGGTCCACGGTTTAAATACAGAAGTGAGGATGAGAACATTCTGAGCTCTCAGTTTCCTTACCCCCACTCTGTTGAAACTAATCCTAAAGGCAGGACACCTTCCTAGGCAAACCATCAGAGCAGCATGAAAGGGGGGAGAAGGGAAGAGGAGAAAGGAGACAGTCCAATGCTTCACCTCCCTCAAAATCACTCACATAACTGGCTGGCTGCTAGGATTTGCTACAGGGATCAGTCAGTATCTGAGCATCCATTCAGCAGCTGTATCCCTCTGGATTACTATATTTCAAGGTGCTATCTGGTTTCTAAGGCAGGTGTAGCCCTGAGCTTATCAAAGGCTGGACTCCTTCAAGCAGGAGATAACAGCATCTACACATAGCCTGGCTTATTTAACACACTGTGTTACCTCTCAGCAAGAGGTCACTTCTAAAAAGAAAATATAAATAACACTTTGTCATTAATATAGAAATGGCACTAGAGCTCAGAAATGCTCCACACCATGTCCCACATGGGCTTTGCACACAAATCAAGGCCTGAAGCTTCAGTCAGGAGGGACAAAGGAGACAATCAAACTGATGTGAACACAGAGGAAGTAGGGGAGGGACTTCTCCACATTACCACTTTTGTGTGTTTGTCAAAGCTTAAAAAAATTAAGTCCATGAGAATTTGGAGTCTCTGATCAGCTCCACTTCTCCATCTGGGATCTTCTGGTCAGGTCTAGTCACTGATTTGGCTTCTCTCCAAGGGATGAGATCCAGCACCTGAAGGACAAAGAAAATAAGGAACATTGCATGTAGAATATTGCACACAGTTTGGGCCCCCAAACAAGACCCTCAGTGAGTGGAGTTTCACAGAGAGCCAGGATGCTCAGAGGGCTGCAGCACCTGGAGTGCAGGGGCTGAGGGATCTGGGCTGTCCCGCCTGCAGCAAAGGCATCCCCAGCAATGCCTGCATGGAGGCTGCCCCAGGATGAAAGCACAGTCCTCACACACAAGCATTCTGAACAACAGGTGAGGAAGTTGAAATGTGAGATGTTCACACTGGATATAAGGAAAACCTTTTGACCATGATGGCAGTCAAGCACAGGAGTCCAGAAAGGACTGCACTCTGTGTCCCTGAAGGTTTATCCAGCCTGACTGGATACATTTGGTCTGACAAGCTTGGTCTGGTCTCAGAGCTGGCTCTGCTTTGAGCAGGGGGTTGGACTAGATTATGGCCTGAGGTCCATTCCCAACTAGGGTACCTTGTGATACCATGAACACCCTTTAAAATAACCCTGGCAAGGCAGGTAAGAAATATTCCCCTCTTTCTGTGAATGGCTGGTTTTTTCCCCCTTGTCCATGTCCACAGCAGAGACTTACCCAATATTCTTCTACAGCAATTCCAAGATTTTCACCTTTTGTAAAAAAAAACCTTCAGCTTGTCTGTTGTCTCTCACAGTGGCATTGTTTGCTTAGGCAACTCACCACAGCTGCCATGACCAGCACAGGGTCCCTTGCTGTGGGAACTCTAATGGGGCCCCCTGCCCACAAAGGATGAGCATGAAAGCTTTTATAGGGTTAATTAGTAAGTGATCATCTGCTCCTCCTCTGGCTTTACCAAATGAGCACAAGTAACCAGGGAATAATACTCTGGGGCAAATGGTTAGTCAATAACCTGCTCCTATGTGAAGGATGGAATAACCTTTATGGCTGCAGGTACCTAGGCAGCTGGCAGCATTTCATACACTAAGAAAGGTAGCAAGTAATCAAAAAAAAGCACATATGTTACCTGTGGCCTTTGTGGTCATCATAAGCTTCTGGGAGTTCAGAGTGGGACTGGGAAAGGGCATTCCAGTTTCCTCCTCCTGAGAGTAGTTCTGCTGCAGGAATGACGTTGCCTCATAGCACACCTCCCTCTCCACCTGTACCTCTCCAACACCTTGACAGTGCAGGTAAGTGTCTAGCTCAGGTGTTCCATCCCAGGAGCTGCAGCCTCCTATGTGGGTCCCCTGGTGCTCTGGTGGTAGGATCAGCTCACAGTCTCTGTCTTCAGGAATGATGGGAATGCGTTGACCCAGATCACATACACCCTTACAGCAGTTTGGCAAGGTGTCATCAGGAAGCGTGTACTGCACATTCACTGCATAGTCTTCTGTATAGCAGCCACCACCTCCACTGCCACTGGTGCTACTACAGGCTACCTGCTTCTCTTCATAGAAGCAGCAGGGCAACCCCTCATATTTTACCCCATCTGTCCTATGTAAGTGGTCTGAGTTAATACTGTACAAGCCTGGGGTGTTCCCTGACTGTGGTTCCATTCCTTGGCCACACGTCCCCCACAGTGGGGAGCTAAGGAAGAGTGCACCACAGTCAGCTGTGCCACTGCTGGGCTCCAGGGCAGAGTGCTGGAATTCAAAGCAGCACGCGCACGCCTGCTCCGAAACCGACCCTGCCATCTCTGGATTCTTCCAGTTCCTTTTAACATCCAAGGCAGCACCAGCAGCGGCCTCAGGTCCTCCCTCTGAGGTAGTGCCATTTGGATCCCTGTGCTCTAGTGAGGAATTACTGCTATAGTTCATATCCATGCTGCAATTAGACAGTTGGTCCCCTGAGGAAGAAGCTGGCACGGGCCTGCAGTCAGCACCCACCAGGCCGTGAGCTGGGAGCTCGTCCTGGTGGGGGCCCTCCAAGAGCACAATCGCCCCCCTGTTGGCAGCACCGACCTCAGGCACCCGGCAGGGGCTCCTGCTGCGGTACACGTAGGGGTCATAGTCACTGCTCAGAGAGCTGCGGAACGTGGAGCAGCTCCCGTAAACCCCCTGGTTGCTGACCTCAGTGCAGTCAACCATGGAATCACTGGAGGAGCAGTGGCACTGACCAGAGCTGCTGCTGCTGCTGTCACTGCCAGGGCAGTCGGCCAAGTACCCGCTGCACACCGAGCGGTGGCCGTGGTAGCAGCTGAAGCTGGAGGTGCTGCCGCTCTCCAAGCGGGACGAGGGCATCACGTGTACCACAGGAGGGAAAAGCACGCTGCTGCCAGGCTGAAAGGCACGGGAAGGACCCTTGGAGGCAATGCCAGCTGGAAGCTGTCCATCTTGCTCAGGGTAGCTAAGGCCTTGGAAGTAGTAGTGCTGATACATGGTCTCGTATCGGGAAAAGCACGCCGCTTTGGAAAAGTTGCGTCCACCAAACTTGGGCCTTCGGAAGTTGTGAGCTGGAGAGTAAGCCCTGTGCTCCAGGCTGCAGTGGTGGGTGTTTAAAGCATGGTCCAAGTGAATAGGCTGATAACTGCGGATGTAGGCAGGGGAAGGGGCTTGGTAGAGGCTCTGCTCCCCGTGTCTCTCCACTGTCAGCAGGGTGATGGGGTTCCCGTGGGGGTCCATGCTGGTCCGGGTGGGATACGCTGTGATCTGGCTGGCCCTGTGCACTCGGCCCGGGTAGTGCACAGGCAGAATCACCCTCTGCTGCCTGCTGCGGGCTGCATTGATGGATTCCAGACAGATCGGGGCTGCATTCCCCTTCTTCTGTTCTGAATGAGAGAAAGAAGAATGGAGAAGTAGAACTAGAAGGGAATAAAATTACTTTATGCAAGAAGCATATTTTGTTTTCCATGTCATTACATTATGCACCAGTTTTTTACACGGAAGGAAATAAAAGCAAAACAAAAGTCAAAAGCATGTCTGGAAAACTTTGAAACCCCCAAATGTATTTGCTTAAAAAGCAAAAGAAGTGAATTTATTTCAGATACTGTTCTCATACACACAAAATCTTTTGCTAACATCTTGCAGAGGCTGAGAGAGGCTGGAAGTCATTGCTCAAATTTTCACTTTACGCATTTTTACATAAATGTGCAGCGCCAGAAAACTTTCTTAAGACAGAGGAAATGAAAGCAGGAAGAGGGCAAGTAAGGGAAACCACGTTCCAAGTTACAACACCATGGAAAAATAAAAGCCCATACATTGTTTTCTTTGCAATTCCCAAGGGAAAACATATCCCTTTTCTCCATGTGTCCTTGCACTCAGGGCTGCACAACACAACACTGCCCTCAGCTGGGCATCATCCCCACCCCAAGGCTATGCCAGGGGCACTCAGCTGTTCTGGCTATGTTACAATAGGGACTGAGAGCTCCACGGAGATTTACAAACAGGGACACTTTTTATTTCATCCTTTCAGCTGTCTGAAATAAACAAGACACCAGAGCACGCAGAGTGCAGCACTTACCTATGATGTTATGGCGGCAGTGAGGGCAGGTGTGGTGCTGCAGCAGCCAAGGATCCACACATTTCTTGTGGAATCGGTGAGTGCAGGGAATGACACGCAGTTCCTACAGGAACACATGAAGCACCATGAAAATCTACTTCTTCCTGACAAGGGAATTTTTAACAGCTTCTTCCTAGTTTTTTCAAACTGATTATTAAATGGAGCAATTTCTAGCCTTGTAGTGCTAAGAAGGAAAAAAATGGCATCAAGACAGCCAAGAGCACAACAGGTAGTGCTCAGCACCTTAGGACTCCATGCAGATATAGGACATTTCTTTAGGACACTTTTTTAGTATGTCCCTATGACCCAACACCTTTAAGAAGGCCATCATAAAAGTCTTCTTTAATATACTCAATGAACTTAAAAAACAGAAATCAAGAGTAATGATGTGTCCTCCCTACAATTATTCACAATGGAAAACACTCAGGTAAAAGCAAAACCAACACAGTGTGTATGATATTTTTTCTCTTACCCAGGACTCTTATCCTTCAGCTATGATCTGTTTACAGGATTTCCTGAGCCTGATGGATATCTCAGAAACCTGCAACAAATCTCTCTTCCAAGTACTGCTTATGTCTCCCCATGAGCTCAGTTTTCAATTTCTAACACGCTTTGGCAAGGAGTTCCATGGGGCTACTACCTCCTGGTGGAGAAACACCACACAACTTTATTCCCCTGTATTCCCCTGTCCCCAGGCAATCTGGGTCTAAAGAGTCCTTGCCCACTCAATCATTCAGGGTTTTTTACAGAAACCATTCAAAATGTTTGACCATTTTCTGACTACCCTTTCCTGAAGCACCTTCCTTTCCATTCAGTATCTTTTGTGAGTTGAGGTCAGAAAGACACAGTACTCAAAGTGAGAACATGACTAAACTTACACTGTGGTGTAATTATGTTTTCTGTTCAGCTCTCTAGACTTTCCCATCTCATTTCTAGAATCTGATTTACCTTTCTAACTGTCACAAAGCAGTTAAGCTGCCACCAATTTGCTTTCATAAAGCTATCTAAAGCATCAAGATCTTGTTCCTGAATAGCAATGCTCAGCTCCCAACCCATCCCTGATATATGTGAAGCTCTTCCCTGTGTCTATCACATGTCTATCAGGCATGAAGTTCATGCCTGAATTTCCTCTGCAGTCAGTTTGTACAGCCCTTTTGAAGTCTTTTTCTACCTTCGTCCTTGCTACTCTGAATAATTTCCCACCAACTAATTCCATTACACTTTCTATTTGCACTTTGCAACACTCAAATATGCAGCTGCTATTTTCTATTGCCTTAAAAATTATGACTCTTTTATGATAAAATAAAATGTCTTCACATAATCTTTCCAGTGGAAGTTGATGGCTGTGAATATTGACTGCCTCTATTTTATGTTAAGGAGCCAATTTTCTATTTCATGCTTTTGTTGATTCCTTGGGTTCCATCATGGACACCAAGCCCTGATATCAATACAGTGATTGTAACTGAGGAGTCAAAAAACTGTTCCTGAATGTTTTGACCTCTCTTCCTTCTCCTCCTCTGGTTTCCCAGCAGTGCTGTGTACTTGACATTTTTAAGACAGGGTGCCATCAAATCTTGAAAAGCAAAACCCTAAGGATATTCCTTACCTCCAGCAGAGCTTGCACACATCATCACCTCAGTGCATGACTTGTCAAAAATACCCAGAGAACCAACTGCTGAGGCAGCCCTGCCTTCTTTGTGCCTTGTTCTTCAGAAATGCAAGAACAGTGAAGGTACCAACTTGCAAATGGGATCTCTCACCTCTCACTTTGCAGCATGGGTAATTCAGAGCTGCAGGACACAGCTGAGGCCACGTTGGCTGCTCAGTGTGATCAAACTGAGAAGTGGCACCACCTCAGCACAGAATGTCCCCAACAGCCAGCCACATACCACAGGGCTAAAACCACCTACATTCCCAGCCCATGGTGAAGAAACCTTCCATCCTTTACCTCCCCATCAATGTACTTCTCCAAGCAGATGGCACAGTCAGAGGTGGAGCTGCTACTGAGTGTATCCAGTGCTCCACAGTTACTTTCTCGGTGTCCCTTACTTTTGGACTTAAACTTCCTGGTCTCCATTTTCTCCAGTGCTTGCACTGCAAGCCTGTTCATGGAATTCTACATGAGAAGAAACAAAACAAACAAACAAAAAAAAAAAAAAAAAAAAAAAAAAAAAAAAAAAAAAAAAAAAAAAAAAAGAAAAGAAAAAAGAAAAAAGAAAAAAAAAGCCAATGCTGCTGTGTAAGGGACTAGAGTGTAATAGCAGAGAAACACCACCATAACATATCTTACAGATCATGTCAGGCCCAAGGGATGTATAATTTATTAAATTAAACAGAGAGAAGGCTAAGTAGAATTCAGATCAGAAGCCTCATGGAAAAAAATGTATGCCACATGCAGAAGTGAGGATGATAAACTACTCTGAATTAGAACTGGATGAAGGTGCTGACAAATGGGATAATACACTGCAACTGCCCAACTGATAGGCAGCAACTATTCAAGCCAATATATAAAACTTGGCCAGGAACTTTTATATCAGTATTGATTGTAATGCCCCAATATGCTGTTACCATCATATTACCTGGAGCAATACTTGAGAAAGAGATTAAAATGAAATATTACAGTGAGCTGTATCATTTCCTCCAGGACAAACTCTAATTATGTCACCTGGAATTTCTCCTAACCAAACTTTTTACCTTGAAAACCCCTCCCATTTCAACAGATTTTACCCTATTGAAAAGATTTGTGATTTATTTTCAATCCTCTCCACAATACAGCAGCAAGAGTCTGGACTCATTTAGAAGTATATCAGTGCTACTGATAACCTGTGAGCAACCAGAAATGTTCTTTCTTCCCAGTGCCTAACTGGACTGCTTCTGCACTGTTTTCATTTCAGGATTTAAGTGAACAAACATCATGGTTCAATGTAAATCTCCTTTAAAGATATTTCCAAGTTCTTCCAAAGGCCTACACACATGGATAAAACCACAGAGCCACCAAGATGGTTATTGTAAGTCAGTGGCCTGCAGTTCCAAAAGTTGCAAAGCACATTTTAGGACAAACTAAGAGAAGCTAACTTTCAGCATTTGGTGAATTCCCACTACTGCTCTTACCTGACTGCGTCGCTGTTTCAGTTTGATCTTGACAAGAAGAATGAGGCAAACCAGAGACACAACCACAAAGAAGGCCAGGAAAATTCCCATGTCAAAGTACTCCGTGGGTTGCTTAAAAATGAAAACAAAGGTATTATTACTCCTTCCTTTAGATCATACTCAAAGCTGTTGTTTCTTTCTTTTATAATTTCTCAGGGGCCATTGCTGAATGTCCACAGTCAGAATGGCAGAAGTCAGGGTACACATTGTTCTGCTCATTAACTGGGATTCTCTGAGACAAAACCTGTGTTTTGTGTGCCACTGCAAGTGAATGGAATACACAGAATGCCAAGCATGAGATGTCAGGTTTACAAACTCTGAACTGCAAAATACAGGTTTTTTTAACTGAGTGCATCACACCAAAACTAATTTTTATAGCTTATTGAGTTGCTCATGCATGTAAGTGACTGAAAATCAACATTTGATTTTTCAAACAATGGCCCACTTCTCAAATACATCTCTCAACAGAAGGATTCCATTAAAACGAAAACCAAAAAAACAAAGTGGCAATTGGGACATTGATGACCTTTAGTTTTGTTCTTCTGTAAACTATACACAGTGTTAAGGGAAAAGTCTAGAAAACCTATTTTATATTACAATTACAAATATCAGATAATCTCATAGTTAATGAGATAATCTCATAATTAATTCAGGTTTAAAATACTATACAGAATTATTAGTGAACACAGGGCAAACCACCTTTCAAAACTGAACCCTCAGGAGTGTGCAATAATTAAGAAAAAGGAAAACTTCTACTGTGTGAATTTTTTAGCCTCTTCTATACTCAAAAGTATCCTTTTGAAAGGCAGCAGATGTCACATTGTGGATTCTGTACTTACACCAGGTCCAGCTGCTTGCCCACAGTGCTCAGTTTATTTAGGTCAAGAGAATTTCACATTTATTAATGCACACAGGGAGCACCAGAACATCTTCACACCAGTGCAGGGAGCAAGCCCTGCCTGCAGTGACAGCAGCACTGACACCCAGAGAAAGGATGTGAAAGTCTCACCCGTGGGGGGCGATGCTGAATCCGGGCCCGCGCCACTTTCTGCTTGTTCACAATGTTCATCAGCTTGACAGCATCAGCACCTTTCACATACACCACTGGTCTCTTCAGAGGGTCCTCTGAGCCCTGGTTCAGCTAGAACAAAACAAAAATAGTCTTCTCAAAAGCCATGTTTCAGGAAAAACACCTTCCTTCTGGACAATGCAGAGAATGGTTAAGGAGTATGAATGTGGAATTGATTTCAAGCACTTTTGTTCTCTTCTAGCACAGACCTTTAATTAAGTATCCCACAGAATTAAACCTGACTTATGCTGCCTTTTTTTTTTTTAATTATTATTTATGATATTTTTTTAAGATTAAGGACAAGCAAATGCTATTTCTGAACAGCCTCTTTAACTTAGCTGCATCATCTAGCAGTGCATTAATACTGTAATGCCAAACCTCACAATGAAGAAGAATAAAAATCTGCACATTCAAGAAAACTGTCCCTGCTACGTTTTATCAGTCTTTCAATTTCAACATTATTCACACAGAAATTTCTTCAGCTTTCTGAACAATCGCATATCAGAGTCCTGTCTTTCAGGCTCTTTGTACCTAGCCAAGTTAAGTTAGTAATTTCTGATGTTTAACTCTACAAACTCATTCAAAATTACCTGAGTTCTAGCAATGATGACACTTACTGATTGCAGGATGGGGGGGCCTCAAAGACTAAAACATTTGAGTAGACCACATAATTCACCCTGAAACTTCCTTCCAGGCCCAGCTATGCTTTGTCAAAAAGGCCAAGTGATAGAATCAGAAAATAATGTGTGTGGGAAGGCATGTCATGAGCCCTCATGGTCAAGGCAGGGTCAACTATGACACCAAATCAGGCTGCTCACAGCTTTTTCAGTCAGATGTTGAAAACCTTCAAGTGTGGAGAATGTGCAACTTCTCTGGCCAACAAATGCAGAACAATCTGCTAAATTATATACCAGAGAGAGTTACAACTACACAAGAGAATGGTTCTGTTGAAAACCAGCACCAATACAATAAATTCATATAGCTTATTCTGACTGATGAGCAAAGTACGAGTGCAGAGGCTGGTGGATAGAAAACAAGCAATGCACTGACAAGCAGATGGAAATGGTACAGGGGAAAGGAATGAGATGACAGGAATGGGAGCAAATAGAACAAGAGTATCTGAGATTAACAGATCTGCATTGTTGATAGCTACCTGTTAGTTCTGCCTAAACCATGCAGAAATTACCAGCTGACTGGCCCATCATCCCATCTACTTAATAGATGGTGATAATAGATTTCATTGAGACTTTTTTTATTTGATTCTTCCTAGTATTTGACAGATTTTCTGAGAACACTGATCAAGCTCCTTTTAAGGCAGGTGTCTTGTGATGAGCTAAAAACTAGCTGCAGTACCCAGGGATCCTGTGTGACTACAAGCCTGCTGGCCTGGGACCAAATCCAGTCGCTGTCCTTCCATTCCCAGACACACTCTCTCTCATGATTTCTTGCTCAAGAGAGAATTCTCCCAGTTCCTCAGTCATTTTTGCACATTGTCAGACTCTTGCTAACCATGCTGCTCTGGGTGCTGTTACTCCTCTTCAAATATGCAAAAGTAAAAATAAGAAACAAGTCAGACTTCAGAGAGCATTTCTAAAAATAAAAGTTTCATTCTTAAGTTACAGTAGAAGATACTCAGACCAATGGGAATAAAACCCATTTGGGCAAAGTTCTTTTATCTGGCATTTACCAAATTATCTGAGGACAATTCTTCTGGTCAGGTCTGCCTCCAATTTCTGTTCATTGACTGGCAGGAGGGGCTGCCTTTCATAATACTCCCCTCCTCCTTTTCAAAGCAATCTCCCTTATTTGTTCTATGCTTGGTAACAAGCATACATGAGGAAACTTCCCAAATAGCTCCCTTAGCTTCCCAAATAGCTCAAAGTCTTAGGATATTTCCATTTGAACCAAAGATAGTCCAGATTACCTCATGTCAGTTTTCCCTCCATGTTATCTGTCATTGTTTTCCACAATTCCCTTTTGAGTACCAAAATGGTATTTATTTTAAAGACCAATTACTTAGCACCCTAATGTCAAAGGTTCTGAAGACTTTAGATGAGAATCAAAATCCATTAAAAACAAGCATCCAGAGCAGCATGAGAACAGAGCCAATGCAGTAACTGTAACTTTTAGAGTATGAAAGCTACATCCATTCATTCCTCTCCTGTTTGTTTCCACAGGCTACTGCTCCTTCATCTAACAGAGCCTACTCACTGTGTCAGCTACTGCTCTAAGCCACTAACCTTCTTCCATTTTATTGGAACACCCAAAATATTCAAACATCCACTAGATTAGTTTCCCAACTCTTGAGGACAGATGCACCCAGTTTATTATTTATTACCAAGCAAGGAAAGCTTTTGTTGTTAGAGGGAAAAGAGCAAGAGACTGTAACTCAGCTTCCCAAGTCCAGAGCAGGGTGGCTGAAAGTAACCAGAAGCTGTAACTCAGAGGTAAAAAACAGAAAATGACAGATCACATCTTTGTAAAGAGATTTTTCCTGTATAGAAAAGGGGAAAAAAATATCCCTGTGAATATTTTCAAGATCAAGGCTGCAACTTTGATGCATATGCAGACCACAGTACTCAAAGCATCCATTGCACAGGATCTTCTGCATTCCTTTGTCCAACAGATTTCAGAATTAAAGACAGCTTCTTTAATGTAAACATTGATGATCTCCTTTTCCCCCAAGAAATACAAGCTGCACTTAAAAACCTTCAGCTCCACTTGTTTCTGCTGTGACAGAAACAGCAGTTTTGTTTCAAGACAAAACAGAACCAAACCAAATGCAGACTATTTTTGTGCTTATGTTTCTTCACTGAAATAACCCAAAATTAGCTGAAGTATGCTAAAGCCTTTCATAGGGCTATTACCTCACCCACTTCAAATAAAAAGACCAAAGTTATACCAAGACTTGGAAAAAGAAGAAAAACCCTGCTTGTCCACAAAACACATAGGCAGAAATCATCAGCTGTAAATGAGAAAGAAATGGTTATAAGCTTTAAAAAGAAACCTGTTTAGAATCAGGTTTGAAAGTTGTTTCACAATCTCAAAAATAGCAGCTGTTCAACAACACTATTGATCACAGGCAGGATAGGCCAAACATCCTGTGTTTTGTACAGAGCTGGGCAAAGAAAACCTCCTTGATTAGATAATGGGCCACAAAAAATTCCCTCCATCCTCTTTCAAAACCGTAATCCCAGACCTGGATTCTAGCAAAAGCTAGAAGAAAAATCTAACTCCCCAAAGTTTTCCCTTTCTGCCAGGTTCCCAACACCTGCATTGCTTCCTGCCTGGCATTGCTCATACCTGATCAATGGCATCTGGGTTTTCAGAAACATCAAAGATGACCGCGGTGGCTCCTCGCTGCACTGCTCGCTTTGCCTGCAATAAGAAAGACAGCATCCTCAGTCCCACCCCAAAAGATCACTTCTTAACTCCAAAATTACTCCCTCTCCTCACCTCCAGATAAAAAACTTAACATTTTGTGTTTCTGTGCAGTTAAAACAAATGACAGGACAATTATAAACAGGAGTTCCTGAACCAGCATGGAATGTAGTTAAATTTCACTACAGCTTCTATAGTGTCTCTGCTCCTTCCTTCTCAAACTCCTCTTACAACAACCTTTTAAAAGGATTCAAATGAGATTTAGACCCTCTAAAGACTTTAAGTAGAAGAATTTTTTAAAATTATATTATTTTCCCTCCATTTTACCTGCAAGTGCCATTAAAAATCAATTTCCCTATGACTTGGAGTGGAGACAAGCTCACTAGCATAGAAAATTAAGGTGGACAGGATTCTTTACACTTTTTCAGTGTCATTCTCACAAACTAGGATATCACAATCTCAAAGTGTGCCTCAGAGAATAGTGCTTTTTCTGACCATCAGAGGTCAGAACTGTTGCATACGTTTCTTATGCTGATCAGAGCTATGTAAATGCACAGCTTTTCATCAAATACAGTCCAAACCTGGAGTTACCAACTGCACAGGGAAGGCATTAGAAGATATTAAAATCCTCTGGGATAGAGAAAACAAGGCTAACACAGGGGTTTTATCCTGCTTCTGCCACTGTGTCTCTGTATGTACTGTTCAAATGTTGCTCAATGGCTCCACAAAGCAGACATTCCCAGGAACTTTTCAAAATCCTATTGCCTTTATGGACACAGAATATAAGAAATTATTTCTCCAAGCAATGACAGCTGTCACCACCACAGTACAAAACAAAAAGACACTGCCCCTCCACAGAGACTACCAGAACCTGAACTTATATTGAGATGTAAGAAAAACCAATAAAATAAATTATGAAACATTACTCAGCAGTTTCCTGGAAAAAACGTTGGCCAATACAGAGAACTTGGTTTGAATATATAAATATCACTTGCTTTGCTCTATTCTTGTATTTTATTTAACATCAAAAAGGCCCATCAGCCAGCACATGAGGGAAACCAACTCCCAAATTAGAGCTTTTTCTCAGCCCACCAGGTATTTGTCCCCTTTGAAGTCGGCACACCTGGTTAATGACTAAGAACTGCTGGGGAGGAAGAGTTTAAAGGAATCCACCACTCATTCTCCCTTGCAGCAGCCCTGAGGTGAGGGCTTATGCAGGTTTCCCTAGAAGCACCCCTTACACACACGCACTGCTTATTGAACTGCTCAGCCTATTTAGATTGTTTCTTCAGGATGATCAGTCAACAAGCAAGGCCCCTTGATCTCCGAAGAGCTTTTTAAAGAGATTTCGCAGATCAGCGCTGATAAAAACTCCTTAATTGGGTGCATACACTGAACGAGCAACAAGTTTCCACCAGCAGGTGTTGAGAGAGGAAAAGCACCGAGTAAAAAAAATCACGCTGCGGTGTTTAATGGCAAATGGGGGTGACCCGTGTGGCCATCCTGCCGAGTGAGGAGCTCATTTCACTGAGGCCAAGCGGGGCTCGTTCATTCGTTTCACTGGGGCCAAGCCAGGCTCGTTTCACTGGGGCCAAGTCGGGTTCATTTCCCCGTGCCCTGCGAGGCTCCGGCCGCCTTGCCCCGCTCGCCTGGCCCGCGGCCCTGAGGGCCCAGCGGCCGCCCACAGCGCCCCCCTGCGGCCGCAGCGCCCCCGCGCCGGAAGCGCCGCCTGTCCCCGGCCATGGAGGGGAGAGGAAGGAGCCGGGGGCGCGGGGAAACGCGGGCGTTTATTCCTTGCTGGGGTTTAAATCCTGATACCCAGGGAAAGGCGCTGCTGCCTGGAAGCTCGCTCCAGCCAAACCTCCTCTGCCGGAGGCGCTGAGCACTCCTGCAGAGAATGGTAAAGAGGCACGGCCCGCAGCGGGAGCCGGGCCCAGCCCTCTCCGGCGGGCTCGAGGGCCGCCCGACGGGCCAGGTTCCGCTGGCCAGAGATCAGAGCGCGGCTGCCTCCGCCTCCCCCGCCTCCAGCTCGGCTGTAAAACCGGGCACTGCGCAGGGAGGACAGCAGGGCGAGCGGCGGGGAGTACCTCTGCCCGCTGGGCACTGCCCTCCTGCCCTCAGCCCCAGGTGGCGGCCGGAGCGCACCTGTGACCGGGGCTTCCGGCAACCTGAAACACCTCCGGGCACCGCCGGCCCTTCTGCATCCCCGAAAATGCCTTTGAAAATACCCTGTCCACCAAAACGTCTTTGAAAATACCCTCCCTGTCCACCTGTGACCGGGGCTCCCGGCAACCCGAAACACCTGCGGGCACCGCTGGTTCTTCTGCGTCCCCGAAAATGCCGCAGGATGGTTAAAGTCAAAACGTCTTTGAAAATACCCTGTCCACTCCTCAGTAATCAGGGCAGCTCAAAATAACACAGCAATGTTAAGTCCCACTTCAAGTAATGCCAGTCTGTAATAGGCACGTGATTTTTTTCTTTTTGGGCTAGCCAGCATTTAGACTCCCTTAAATCATTTTTCTAAGCTAAGTGACCAAACCTACATCAAAAATAAACACAAGCTGGATGAGAGGGAAAAATAAGCTCATACTTTTACATTTTTAATACTTGTGGCAAACAATCAGACATTTCCACAATTCAATTCCCATTCATTTGCCAGGCCTATTTCTTTCTGTGATTGTCTTCTGTGGCTTAAAACAAATTACTATCACGATGTATCAGTATTCTTCCCCTTTTGTAAAGAGTAATAGAAAACAAACAAAAAAAAGGTAATTGCACTTCTCATAATTCAAGTGATCACTTTGTTCATAGCGACAACAACCTCCCAGTCCGTGTCTGTATTCGGAGTTTTGAGTTTATGCTACTGCAGAACAATGGACGTTACCAATAAAATGCACATTAAATACTGTCTCAGATTAAAATCTGGCAGAATTTACTAGACCTTGTAATCTAGGTAAGATAAGAGGATTTGCATGTGACAGAAGCACAAGAAAAATACCTCTCCACATCTCCAGGCCTGAGGAATTTTAAGTTATAACCTCAAAGAACCAGAAAGATTTTAAGAGCTTTGCATTACCTCCCTGTGGGCCAGGCAAATACAATAAGGAAGTAATAACTTCCTTGATGAAGCAAACTTTCATCCCAAGGGACCAGATAATTATTAAACAGGCACACTGTTCCTCTCATTCACTCAAGTCAGGTAGGACAGCAACAATCAAACAGTAAAGTTCAGCTCCTTCCTGACACCTTGAAGGACTTTGCATGCTTGCACAAATGAACATGGCAAGCATCTCCACCCCTCTGCTTTCTAGTATGGTTTTATTCCAGTTATTGTTTCAGTTACAAGGCAACAGTGGAGAAACCATCATGAGAAAAGCTGCTTAACAAGGCTGTCCTTTAAGAGAAAAATCATACCAACATCAGCCTTTATTCATTACATTTAGTTCTTTGCCAGAGTTAGAATTCCCTGACAATATCCAGCAGTATTTGCACCTGAGGACATGACACTTTAATCTAATGGATTTCAGAGAGTGAATAAATTACAGAAGAGAAAGACCGAGGCTCAAACTATAGGTGTGGAGATCAAAGTTCATTAAGCACTGCAAGCTCTGCCATTTACATCAACACAGTAATGCATTACACATCTCTTAAGAGAATACTTTTTGTTGAAAATGGCTATTGGCAGAGCCAGATTACTCCTTATAAATAAACTTTTTAAAGTTAACATCCTGGATAATACTGATGGACTGAAGGGAGAAAAGTATGCTTTAAAAGTATTGGCTGCCTGTATAAGCCACAGACATATCCTGGTGATATAAAATGATGTTCTCACAGATATTTTTACATTAAAAACTACCTATCCCTCTCCCTGGATTTGTTCACCCAACTCCAGGTATTATTTTCTTGGAACTTAGTACACTCTAGTTAACAAATATTAATTATCATTATGGTATGCGGTACATGAGCAGGTTGGTTTATTCCCTGGGTTAACAAACTCACAAAGCTGGGGAAGAGGAGGTTGGGCAATGGTTTAAGGAATAACCAGTACAAATGCCAGTAAACTCCTTTTAGCAAACTATTCCATTGGGTGTCAGCATTATTAGCTGGTCTTCAAAATGAGGACACAGTACACAGAGAACAGTCCTATGGATCCCAAAAACAAAATGCTGCTAGAACTAAGGGTAACAGCACAGCTCCAACAGGTATAACAACAGCTTTTTCCTACCACCATTCCTTTTTACAGTATATCCTGGTTTTTAGGGCAGAAAATATGGTATTGGTCTAAATCAGTGCAGAGTCTGTTGAACACAGTAGTCAATAAAATTGATTTGTATGTCCTCATTCAACTGACCCAGCCTGAATTTTCTCTGTCAGTTTTTGAGGGTTTTTTTCCCCTTCAGTTTCTCTATGAAATAATAATTATTGAACTTGAGGCATATTTTCTGGATATTCCCAGCCCATCAGATCCAACAGTCTGTGTCAGATCTCTCTACATGGTGGAGTCAGTGTCATTAATCTGACAAAAGAGTGGGATTATGCAAGCACTGTTAAGTGGAACATTTTTCATAGCTGATTCTATCATCAGCTGTCTTCTGGTGCTTTGAAATAAGAGAAGTCAGCCTCTCACCCAGTACTGGTAACACATGAGCAGCACTCAGTGACATGCAACTTGCAAAATCTGTGACTCCAAGGAACAAGATTTTCAATGAAAAGCTGCAGTTTCTTGTTCTACTGCTCTGAAAAACCAGTTCAAGGATTTCAACAATCTTGACTGCTAGGGAATACAGCTGAAGGAAAGAGGTTTCAATCTGCAACATTTCACCAAAATAAATGATTGATATAGCAACTGAGTGGTCTTGGTCTTCTCTTGAGCAGACTCAAAAGTAACAAAGTCTGTTCCAATATCAATTGATTTGTACCTGTTTTCTCCATATCAAATGACACCACAAAGACATAGACAATATTACTGAGATATGATACAGAATATGCTGTACCAA